CTTTGAGGACCAAACCTGCAGTAATCCCAGGTTGCTGGATCTGAGAAATAGCCGCCACTCCCTAAACTTGGACTGGTTAGTTGATGAAACAGAGCAAAACAAACAAGAGCAGGATGACCTCTCTGCACGCACTTACCGTGTAGTAACGCCACAAGTCCAGACAGACTTTGAGGACCAAACCTGCAGTAATCCCAGGTTGCTGGATCCGAGAAATGGCTGCCACTCCATAAACTTGGACTGGTTAGTTGATGAAACAGAGCAAAACAAACAAGAGCAGGATGACCTCTCTGTATTTTTTGCCCTGCAGTACCACCACAAATCCAGACAGACTTTGAGGACCAAACCTGCAGTAATCCCAGGTTGCTGGATCCAAGAAATGGCCGCCACTCCACTGGCATGGACTGTCGGGGTAGTGTATCCGAGCAAAACAAACAAGAGCAGGATGACCTCTCTGCACGCACTTACCGTGTAGTAACGCCACAAGTCCAGACAGACTTTGAGGACCAAACCTGCAGCAATCCCAGGTTGCTGGATCCAAGAAATGGCCGCCACTCCCTAAACTTGGACTGGTTAGTTGATGAAACAGAGCAAAACAAACAAGAGCAGGATGACCCCTCTGTATTTTTTTGCCCTGCTGTACCACCACAAGTCCAGACAGACTTTGAGGACCAAACCTGCTGTAAACCCAGGTTGCTGGATCCGAGAAATGGCCGCCACTCCCTAAACTTGGACTGGTTAGTTGATGACACAGAGCAAAACAAACAAGAGCAGGATGACCCCTCTGTATTTTTTGCCCTGCAGTACCACCACAAGTCCAGACAGACTTTGAGGACCAAACCTGCAGTAATCCCAGGTTGCTGGGTCTGAGAAATGGCTGCCACTCCATAAACTTGGACTGGTTAGTTGATGAAACAGAGCAAAACAAACAAGAGCAGGATGACCCCTCTGTATTTTTTTGCCCTGCAGTACCACCACAAGTCCAGACAGACTTTGAGGACCAAACCTGCAGTAATCCCAGGTTGCTGGGTCTGAGAAATGGCTGCCACTCCATAAACTTGGACTGGTTAGTTGATGAAACAGAGCAAAACAAACAAGAGCAGGATGACCCCTCTGTACTTTTTTGCCCTGCAGTACCGCCACAAGTCCAGACAGACTTTGAGGACCAAACCTGCAGCAATCCCAGGTTGCTGGATCCGAGAAATGGCCGCCACTCCATAAACTTGGACTGGTTAGTTGATGACACAGAGCAAATTCAACAAGAGCAGGATGACCCTCTGCACGCACTTACTGTGTAGTAACACCACAAGTCCAGACAGACTTTGAGGACCAAATCTGCAGTAATCCCAGGTTGCTGGATCCGAGAAATGGCTGCCACTCCACTGGCATGGACTGTCGGGGTAGTGAAACAGAGCAAAACAAACAAGAGCAGGATGACCTCTCTGCACGTAATTACCGTGTGATTCACAAGAGTCATTTTGGTAGCGAGAGGCTTGAGCCTTCTCCTCGCTCTCTCTACAAATCTTCATATGTGTGCCCCGACCACACTTCCCCAGCAAAAATTGCAGATGCTCTTCGGACAATGACAGAAGATATCAAACTACGTATCTACAGGGCTTGCCAAAAATTATTAGACGATTACGAATTCAAGCTGTTTGTAGTTTTGGGTGGTTCTGTCCTCACTACTTCTTGGATATTTGACAGGTATGCTGCAGGTGATTTTTCTAGAGCCGCAAGAATTGCTGCTGCTTTTTCCAGAGCAAACTTTTGGATTTAAGCATTGCGTACCTGGCCTATATAATGACATGTGAGTGACAATGAGGACAAAGAGGGTTAAGCCTTCTACTTGCTATCTCCACAAGTCTTCTGTACCTCAAACTGTCTTACCCAGTGAAAGAGAGAGGCACAAATATTGGAACGTGAAAGTGTATCTAAAAATCTGTATATATTTTTATTTTATTATATTACTATTTTTATTAGTTTTTATAAATGTATAATATCTGTAAATATTTTTCTATTTTTTTATTCTATTTTTATACATTACTATTTTTTATATTTTAATAAGTATATATATATCTGTAAATATTTTTCTATTTTTTTATTCTATTTTTATACATTACTATTTTTTTATATTTTAAAAAGGTTATATATCTGTAAATATTTTTCTATTTTTGTATTCTATTTTTATGTATTACTATTTTTATATTTTAATAAATATATAATATCTGTAAATATTTTTCTATTTTTTTATTGTATTTTATATATTACTATATTTTCATATTTCAATCCACATTTAACTCTCTGTAACATGAAGGGAATATAAACTTGACAAGAGTCAATCTGGCAACAAGAGCCATAATCTCCTCTCTCTCTACATGTCTTTATATCTGTGACCTGACCCGTCTTGCACAGTGAATGAGAGAGGCAAAAATATTGCATCACTTGCAACACTCGCAGATTTATTTCCCAGGATTCCTGGGAAACACAACAACATGACAGTATTTCAACACAACACGACTGCAAAACGCCTCAACAACACAGCATTGGTGAGACTGAACACTCCTGTTGTGGCGAAATGCAATCGTCTTGTGGACGAGGACGATCAAGACGAGGATCAGTGTCCAATACGTATCTACCCTTTCCGTTTCAGTCTCACCAATGCTGTGTTGTTGACCAACCAGCCAGATCAACCTGGGGCGAGTTCAGCGCCGACAAAACGTAGTAAAACGTTTTTTTCCAACAGGAACGGTGGTTCCCTGAACACCCTGCTGTGTACGCAAGCGCACTGAATTTTCCTCCCACAATATAAATCTAAAATATTTGCTTCTTAATAAATTTGATGTACTATATTATAGGAATGGTTTCCTTTTTCAGAGTTTATTATAATGACACACACACACTTCTGTTTTGCATTAGCATTCAATTGGACTTTAGAACAGGGGTGATTTATAAAAGGAATAAGCAGGTTCATACAAGTGTAGTGGTATCAAATACATTCAGATATCACCATGCTGTCATCACAGCCAAATAATGGTAAAGTTGACAAAGTGGAAGGACATTCCAGACTCTGACAGTATGGGTATGGCACAATACATTTGTTTAGTAAGAAATACAACAGTGACAAGTGTTTGTGTGTGTTTCTGTGTATGAATAAATTAGTAGCAGCAGATTCAAAATCACAAGTGACCAATGTTTCTTATTAAAGTTAATATTTGTTTGAGAACGGTGAAAAAAAATGAAATTTAAATGACACGTTTAAACAGTTTGATTTATTGATTACTGTCAGGAGATGAAGATAATTTCAACAAATATAACTCAAAATGCTTCTGAATAAATTGCCTACCCTCGTCAAAAGGATTTAGCTAGGCTTCAGCCACTCAAGGACATTCACATTCTTGTTTTGAAGACTACTTCAGGTCAATGTCCTGGTTGAACAAAGATTGTCTTAATATCTAATATACTCAAAATAATTCTGAAGAAAAAATCATGCAATCAACAGGAAATTGATTTGCAGCGATTTTTTTAGTAATTGATTTCATTTTCAAGCAAAAACGCTAAATATTCTCTGGTTTAAGCTTCTCAAATGTAAGAAGTAAATTAAATATCTTTAGGTTTTGGACTGTTGTTCAGACAGAAAAAAATTATTCATTATTCAACATCCAGCCACTATAATCTCTGCTCCTACAATTATATTGAATTTCTGCAATGGTAAACTCAACTAGCCTGCAACATTACATCCATAAAAAATGCTGGACAGTGCTGGGTTAATAAAAACATTAACACCCACGTGAAGCTAACACTGACCTCAAGCACCAGTGTTGTCCATTTAGAAACCTCACCTCTCTCCTCCATAACAACTAAATAAACTCTCAGTATATTTACAGCGAGCCACAAAACGGTGACTTTCAACAGCTACTGTGACGTACTGACATAAATAACAGTAAATAAACCATATTGGGACTTTTTCTTGAATACAAAGCAGTTCCAGCACATTTTACAAACACAAAGTTACCAAAGTGCTGCACAGAAGACTCAAACATACAAAACAATTAATATAAAATTTTGTAAAAGCAAAATAAGAGCATCAGCTTTAAATACTAAAATACAGTAAAACAATCAGAGGACCACACAACTCACGGAGTTAAAAGCCAAAGAATAAAAATGTGTCTGTAGAGGAGAAACACTCAATTGTAGGGGCTGTTCGGACATGGAGGGGCAGAGCGTTCCAGAGTTTAGGTCCAACCACAGAAAAGGCCCTCTCTTGTCTTGGGGGCCGCAAGCTGGAGCTGGCCCTCTGACCTCAGTGACCGCACTGGCGTATAAATTTGGATGAGGTCCGAGATATATGTTGGGGCCAGTCCATTCACAGCTTTAAAAAACAAACAATAAAATCAATCCTAAAACGAACAGGAAGCCAGTGCAATGAGGCAAGAATTGGAGTTATATGAGCGCGCTTTTTGGTTCCTGTTAAAAGACGTGCTGCAGAATTTTGGTGTAAGCGTGAAAGTACGTTGTGATTTATACCGATATAAAGTGCATTACAGTACAACGAGAAGAAATAAAAGGTTTAACTTTGGCTACAAGGCGAAGATGATAAAAACTAGATTTCACAACCGCATTTATTTGTTTGTCAAGTTTAAAATCACTGTCTATTTTGACCCCAAGGTTAGTTACAACAGGATGCACAAAGTCATTCTCTCATTTAGTTTTAAGAAATTTTGGCCTAACCACGCTTTGACGTGAATGACAGTGAGGTATTTGGATTCATTAGAAGTGACTGACTTTGGTTTCCCATGCCATCTCCATTGTGTAAGCAACAGCTCAGTGCTTATTTATCGTCAATAAAAAACTCCACTTGTTTAACATTAAAGCTGTCTGTGAAGCAAGGACTGAAGGAAAGACCAGCAATGTACCAGCTGCAGTAAAACATGGACCGTGGCAGTTGTTTGAAAACTCTCGTTTCATGTGGAAGTTTTTGCACAGAAACTAAAATCACAAGTGACTCTGAAATGAGAGGGTACAGCATGGCTGAGCACCACACGGGCGTAGTCAAAGTCCTGCTTAAGCTGCATGGCACCGTACAAACTCCGGGCAACATCGTTGTCTGTTGGACACAAAACAGATGGTCACTAGAACATGACATTTCAATACCTGGAAACGGAATTCAAATGTTGGACGAACTTTTAAAAGGACAAACCCACTTTGTAACCCTTTATCCTCTGTGTTCACTGTTCCTACCTGGTTGCAGTGGGTCCTCAATGTAGAGCATGGAGGGCCTGTAGCCATCCATCATGTTCTTCTGAACCTCGTCTTTGGCAACGTAACAACCTCCATCTTTTATCCTGATACCTACTTTCAGGTAGTTGAAGTGGCGACCGTAGAACTCAAAGAATTCAATGAGAAGAACACCGATGTTGATGTTGGGACTGCACACGTCCTTCCCCTGTAGCGAAGCTGGAAAACACACGGGTAGATGTTAGACTTATTGCAGATGGTTAAATGAGTTTAACAGGTCATTGACGAGACTTTTAGATGCTTCGACAGCATGACGGTCTTCACATTGTTCATGCTGAATACTGCATGTAGGGCTGTTTTGTTCAGAATTGTGCATGTTTATAATTCATGTATTCATTAACCACAATTGTTGCAAATACCTTAATAATAGAAACTACATAACCAAAAGGGCCCAAAGTCTGTTATAGAACAAAACATCCTCCAAAAAATAAGATCAAGTTGATAAAAACATTAAGAGGTCTTGCTAATGAGCAAATTCCACCGGTGAAAACCTCATTGAGGTTCCTCTGCAGTAGGAACTGCTTCAGCACCAGATAAGTTGGCACAGGGTTTTTCTACAGGACCAAAAATAGACAGAGGAAGTGCATATAAAGAAATACATGTTGATGCTTTCAGCACCCTCCAAAGGAAAACAGCAATTTAAAGTCTCAAAAGTCCAGGATTTTTCTTGGTTTATCCTACTGATCACTAATATATAGAAGCGTTCAAAACTTGACAGATTATAAAATGAACACCATCTTGCTTTTGACGTTAGCAATGCCAGTTAAGGTGTGTTACGTCCCAAGGTCTAGGGGTGTCCGGGACGCAACATAAAAGTGTAGCTTCCCACTCTTCCCATTCCCAAACAAGGCCAGAACACAGGAAATACAATTTAGCAGTTTTATTGGCTTCAGAGATGAGCAGTGCCCAAAACAACAACCAAAACAATCTAATAAACCTAAACTTTCCTAAACCAAAAACAGAAAGTAAATAAAAGACAAAGCTCTAAACCAGGCTTCTAATCTCAAAAACAAAAAGGGCTTCTCACTCCTACACACTGCTATACAACAAAGAAATATCCGTATATTATAACAAAAATGGCTAAAGCCAACAAAAAAAAGGTTGTCAACAACAATCAGAATTACGAAGCTAAGCTGCACAGATTCATTTACAAGGTCTACTCTACACAGCAGTTTTCTACTCACAACTAACAGGTATAACACACAGTACACAGGCTCAGGTTGGGAAAGGCAGAGAGAGAGAGAGAGAGAGAGGAGTTCCTGTCAGTGGTGCTTAAGATGGCTGTTGTCATCCAGGTGACCAATCAGGAGACTCCAATCAGCTCTGCAGGACCAATCCAGTGTGCCCTCCTGTTCTCCATTACCTGCATACACACACATACTCTAAGGGAGGAGAGACAGCTGACATTGCAGGGGGAGATAAAAACAAACTAAATATGACCCCAGGGTCATAACAGGTGAGTTAGGAAATGATTACTCTAAATATGCCACACAAGACGTTAAACCTCCATTAAGCAATGCTTTGGAATCAAATGGCTTCCTGTATGTTAAAAAGTGTTGTCAAAAGCTCTATATGCTACTAAGAAACCTGTACATTCTATAACAGCAACTATCTTTGTTTTGTTTTTTTATGTTGTAAGAAAGGCACCATTTAGGTTTCAGTATTTCAGGCTTCTTTACAACCTTAGAGATTTAAGAGAATTGTTTGAGATAATACTATGATCTGTAGACCCCTGGAAAACAGCGTGGGAAAATGTTTCAAATGTTCAAACAATGTGTACACTTACACATCCATTAATCATGAAGTGTGTGTATTCCAAGGATACATGACAAACACAAGAAAAAAGGTCAAACATTTTGCAAACGTTTCAAAAAAGTTGCACGCATGACGCCAGCTATACCTCTTTGTAGTCCTTGCTGAGCCGAGCGGCTTCAACGCCACTCTTCACATTGAAGCTGATGTCCACTTTGACCTCAGTGAAGGAGTCAGTCAGTTTGATGATGGGAACCTGGGAACACACATGATAAGGGTGCTGATACTGAACAGAGGCAGTCGGATAGAAAACAGTCACAACAAACGCACGCTTGGCTCCTGACACTGTGCTGCAAGAAACTGCACTTCAGGTCTATTGTAAGCATGAAAACACCAGTTTACACTCCTAATCCTTAATTTAACACGATTCATATAAATATCCTGTGTACCACTGGAATTATGACAAAGTGTTTATTTTAGCCTGCAAGACAGGATGTAACGGTACCAAGCAATGTGGAGCGATTTGTTTGTTGATGCAAGGCAGGAGCAGCCAGCTTACTTTAGCACGGATCTACCACTGAGTGCTTCGTAAAGTTCAATTTAGATTTATTGTGGTTTTAGCGATACTCAGGTATACAGCTTCTCCACCGTCTCATTCGGCATAACTAACATGAGCCACATAATATGACAACACCACAATGGAAGAGCCACTACAGTAAAGTTACTTACAACAGTGTCATTTATAATATTCAGTCCAGCTCATTAACCGTTTCGTTCTCATCCATTTAGCTGTGCTGACATTGCTGAGCCTCCGGTAAAAGATACACAAATAGTAATGTTAGTTACTGAAAAGCAGCAGGTGAGCTAACGCCAATGTATCACGTCGGCTTAATACAGTAAATATAAAGTTATCATGTGACAAGCACGGATTACTTCAACCGCAAGCTGCAAAATATATTACTGTAACGTTGCAGTAGGGGTTTACCTGAGTTTCCAGCATGTGGTGTGAAGATGTCTCCAGCTGCTGTCACACTGCCTTCTTTTACAAAATATTGTGCCAATATGCTGGCTCGCTGCGCTGTATGAGCTTTACGATTTCAAGCAAGCACGCGTACGAGCCCACATCTGGTTGCAATCTTAAAACCAAACCGCTAGTGTCTGCTGAAAACTACATATTGCCCCTTTAAATATCATCACAAAATACATCACATCATAAAATCTGTCTTGCTCAGTCTTGTCAGTGCTACAGATCTGAATTAGAGGTAACATTCATGACAGTGATGAACTGTAGGGGGACCTACACTTCCACTGATACTCCCACCTACACAGTGTTAATGCAGAGACACCTGCAACTCTTCATGTCTCTGTAACTATGAGACTCTGGCAGTCTCTGTCTGTCAGAACATGGATATCATCAAACAAGATCTCCTCATATTGTCAGTGTTTTTGTTGTGGATTACAGGTAATTTGCAATAAAATCAACTAAAAAAAGTTTACGTTCTTTTATTGTTTTATGTTTTTGCTCTTGTTGTAGACAATTATTCATTTGTTGGAAGTGATCTCAGATAACAACAGAATCCAAGATGCTGAGTAAAAGTTTCTAATTGATAACTTTTACTATTATATACACAGGTCTTACTGATGGGAGTGATGTCACCCAGACTGACATACTGTGGATACACCAGGGTGAAAATGCAACAATAAACTGCAGCCACACAAAGGATGCTAACCATTTCCAGATGTACTGGTACAGACAGCGGCCAGGAGAAGCAATGAAACAAATAGTGTTCACAACAACAGCCAGCAAAGATCACGACTTTGGAGAATTCAGCAAAGTGGGACATTCACTGTGAAGAATCTGGTGCCAGAAGATAAAGGCTTGTACTTCTGTGCTGTTAGTGAGCACAGTGATACAAACACACTCAATATCTGAACAAAAACCCCAGTGCACTGTTAGCACACATCTGTCCCACCATCTCACGTACTGTAGGGGGACCTCAAGTACCACAAATACTCCCAGTTACTTTAATTCACCAAGCAAATTTTGATACAGCAGCCAACAGGATCAGAAAACGTCACACGCTGCAGAGACACTCCCACCTGCAACTCTTCATCTCTCTGTAACTACACTAACAGATTTATGTGAGTCTCCAGATACCAGAACATGGACATTATCAAACATGGTCTCTTCAGCTTTTTATTATTTCTGCTCTGGATGAAAGGTGACTTACATTAAGGATTACTTGCTTTTCATTATTAAACTATAATTTTTGACATGGCAGCAGAGGGTGACAATGGTTTTAAAGTGTTTTAAAGTAAATGCATTTTCACTATTAACCTAACTGTTTTACACACAGGTCTAATTGATGGGAGTGATGTCACCCAGACTGACATACTGTGGATACACCAGGGTGAAAATGCAACAATAAGCTGCAGCCACACCAAGGGTGGCGGCTATTACCAGATGTACTGGTACAGACAGCTGCCAGGAGAAGCAATGAAACAAGTAGTGTTCACAATTGCAAACAACAAACCTGATTTTGAACCAGACTTCAGCAAAGAGAAATTCTCAGCCACCAAGCCTGACGCTCACAGTGGGACATTCACTGTGAAGAATCTGGTCCCAGAAGATAAAGGCTTGTACTTCTGTGCTGTTAGTGAGCACAGTGATACAAACACATGTGGAAGCTGAACAAAAACCCAGCGCGCTGTTGGCAAAACATTTTATCTGCTCTACTGTAGGGGGACCTCAAGTACAACCACAGAACATCACATACTACAGCGACACTCCCACCTCTAACTCTTCATATCTCCGTTGTAACGTCACACCTCCCATCACTCAGACTGACACTCACTGTCACTCTGGATCATTTTGCTCAGAACACAATAATGATCACAGCTGGTCTGATAAACTCTCTGCAGCCCTGCTCTGTATTATAGGTAATGTACGTTATGACGCTGAGCACTGAGAAGAGTTACTGCAGCTTTAAATGCATACAAATATCCATGTGAACAGAAGATACTGTTTCTTGGATGGACTACAGAGGGAGCTCTAGACTAACACTGATATGATATCTGACCATTAAATTGCACATATAGCCTTTTGTTAGTAATCAGTATCATTTGTGGTAATAGTGGCTGTGCAAAACAAGGTTTCAACAAATGTCACAATGTGAAATTATGGGCAATTAATGTGACACCATATGTACTCTGTAATCTAACCCAACATCTTTAACAGACATTTGTAATGTTCCTGTTTGAATTATTGTCCTGTTGGTTTCAAATTGTGTTCAATTATTATTTCATTGGGTTTTAATTCCATTAAAATTTCAAACCCATTCTTTGCAAAATTTTGCCAAAGTTAGTTCTTGACAATAGAAGCAACAAAATAATTTTAACTCAAGGTCCACTTACTGGAACCTCATAACACTTACACAACCAAAGAGCATAAGATTTGGTTTAAAATTCCAAATCCAAGTATGCTAGTTTAACTGAGGTCATTTAATCCACAAGCTCTAGGCAGCAAGTCTATGTTACACATGTTTTCTCAAACTGACAGAGGTCAGTGATAAAGCTAAATGTAGGGGTAAAACACGGCAATATTGTGAATTAAAACCAACTAAAACAATACAAAAATGGTTAGTCACTGTTGGGAAGTGAGTACCTACAGAAATGTACAACACATGCAGTATTTATGTTTTGTTAATGAGGTCAGAAAGGACTAACTGGACCTTTCATAAAACAATTACTGCATTATGAGGAACAGACTGTCGTTCACGTTAAGGGTTGATTTTTTTGCCATGTCAGGATAAAAGTAACATCCCCACTAAAACAAACATGACTAAAACAAATGCAATTACAACATGTAATATATTGTCAGACAGGCTGCCACAAACTGATGCACCAAACTGCAACTACTACATGTTGTTTGTATATATCTGCAGTATTTCTCACACCTGCAGGGGGGAAAAAACCTCATACAATGAAAATAAAGGATTTCCACGTCCATAGATTGTAAAATCAACACAGTGCTATACCCTGCTGACAAAGTGAAAGCTGTGATGTAGATTACGGACACCTCCCCTGTTTGTTATAATGCAACAGTGATGTGCTTTCGTCTACAGGTGCTGAGCTGAAAGCACCAGAAAGAAAAGCAGATAGAACAAACTCACATTTAAAATTCTTTACCATGATGTTTAAGGTCTTTATATTGTGTTTCCTTCATCTGCCAGGGAATAAGGGTGAGTATTTCAGACAGAGTAAGATCCTACACAGCTAATCATTTCAGTATTTAAAATAACATCTGTTCTTTTTCTACAGGTGCCTCAAATACCTATACTGTCAGTCAAAAACCTCCTTTCATCATTAAGAGAAATAATGAATCTGTTACCAGTGAGATCAAATGTTCACACAGCATAACAAATTTTAATCGTATTCTCTGGTACAAACAAGAAGAAAACAAAGCGCTAAAGTTCCTGGGATATCTGAATCTGGGCTTCCCAAACCTCGAGGACGACGTGAAAGGAAAAATCAGCTTTGATGGAGACGGCCGTAAAGAGTCAAGCCTCACTGTTTCAAATGTTTCATTAAATGACAGGGGTGTGTATTTCTGTGCTGCCAGTCAGCACAGTGCTGCAGATTCCCCTCAAGTCAATACAAAAACTGTCTGCAGACAGACAAGATGTTCAGGCTCTTGAACACCTGCAGCCAGCCTCCATCTAAACTGAGCCTTTGAAGTTATTATCAACTGTTGTACAAAATATGGTCGTCACATTTCTTGGATGTGCAGAAAATAATATTTCTGATATTGTCTCATCAACTACAGGACTGATGGAGTCTTGAACTACAGACCACTGATAAAATGCAGACATCCAAACTATTCTGCTTCCTACATTGTGTTTCAGGTTTAGATTTTGGTAAAAAAGAAAAACTTCATAAATCAGACTTGATCCTAAGATATAATTTTACTTCCATGCCAGTACAGAAAAACCTTCCATATTCTGTTTTAAAGATCATCACATCATGAAATCTGTCTTTCTCAGTCTTGTCAGTGCTACAGATCTGAATTAGAGGTAACATTCATGACAGTGATGAACTGTAGGCGGACCTACACTTCCACTGATACTCCCACCTACACAGTGTTAATGCAGAGACACCTGCAACTCTTCATGTCTCTGTAACTATGAGACTCTGGCAGTCTCTCTCTGTCAGAACATGGATATCATCAAACAAGATCTCCTCATATTGTCAGTGTTTTTGCTGTGGATTACAGGTAATTTACAATAAAATCAACTGAAAATAATACATTTTTTATTGTTTCATGGTTTTGCTCTGATTATAGTTGATTATTCATTTGATGGAATTGATCTCAGATAACACACGGAATCTAAAATGCTGAGTAAAAGTTTCTAACTGGTAACTTTTACGATTATATACTCAGGTCTTATTGATGGGAGTGATGTCACCCAGACTGACATACTGTGGAAACACCAGGGTGAAAGTGCAACAATAAACTGCAGCCACACCAAGGATGCTACCTATTACCAGATGTACTGGTACAGACAGCTACCAGGGCAGAGGATGAAGGAAATAGTTTTCACGACTACAACTCCTCCACCTAAGTATCAAAGTGGCTTCAGTGAAGAAAAATTCCCAGCAACAAAGAACAATGCTGAGACTGGATCTTTGACAGTGAAGAAGCTGCTGTCTGAGGACAGTGGAGTGTATTTCTGTGCTGTGAGTAAACACAGTGATACAGGTGACTCAGACAGCTGTACAAATACCCATGTGAACAAAAGATAACAGTTTCTTTGATAGACTACAGAGGGAGCTCTAGACTAACACTGATACAATTACTCTGACTATTTGAAATTGCACATACCTTTTTGTTAGTAATCAGTATTTGTGGTAATAGTGGCTGTGCAAAACAAGGGTTAAAAATGTCCCAATGTAAAATTATGGGCAATGAATTTGACACCATATGTACTCTGTAATCTAACCCAACATGTTTAAAAAGACATTTGTAGTTTTCCTGTTTTAATTACTTTCCTGTTGGTTTCAAACTATGTTAAATTATTATTTCATTGTGTTTTAATTCCATTAAACTCTCAAACCCATTCCTTGCAAGATTTTGCCAAAGTTAATTGTTGACATTAGAAACAAAACCATTCAAAATAATTTTAACTCAAGTTCCACTTACTGGAAGATACGGTTAGAAGTTCCGAATCCAAGTATGGTAGCTTAATTGAGGTCATTTAATAGACAAACACTAGGCAACAAGTCTATGTTACAAATGTTTTAATAAAGTTTTCAGTGGCAACGCTAAATGCAGAGGTAACACAGGGCAATATTATGAATTACTACCAATTGAGAAATACAAAAGTCCAAAATGGTTAGTCCGTGTCAGGAAGTCAGTACCTACATACATGTACAACACACGCAGTTATTATGTTTTGTTAATGAGGTCATATAATGCTTTTTGGGTTTTTCCTGTTACGGTGTGGTGTGGGGACAGAGTGGACCCAAACGCAACTCTGGGGAAGAACAGGCTTTATTGAAGGGGATACGGGGTTGAGGGAGTGGAGGTGAGGGAGCGGCGGACGCCGGGGAAACACGAGCACGGGGAACCGAGGAGACTGAGACAAGGGAGCCAGGGGCGCTGGGGACCGAGGAAGCAAGGAGGCACGGGGAGGAGCCGGGAGGACGCCATGGAAGAGGTCCGAGGGGAGAGGGTAGGGTGGCGAGCCCAGCTGGCGGAGCGGAGCACGGAGGTGAGTGGACCTGGAGGGGAGACAGACAGACAGACAGGGTCAGACACAGCGGAGACAAAGCACAGAGATATAGAAAAGATACACAATACGTGCGAGCTTGAATGGTGAAGTGGCACCGGGTAAGGAGCAACGATGATCAAGCAGGGGTTGACTGGAGAACCGGGTAGAAGTACTGTTGGAGATGAGGCTGATTGCTGGCAGGTGTGGCAGGCAGAGGAGGTGGCTGACGAGGTCGCTGGCCGGGCTCAGGAGCGGAGGGAGAGAGAGAGGGAGAGCACACGCAGGGGAGGAGACACAGGGAGGCAGGCAGAGTACAGGAAGACACCAGGGGAAAACAGAATCACAAGCAAAAAGGGAGAAATAAACAGGACACTCACCGTCAGCCGGGCTGCCAACACAACATTTCCCCTCTCCTTTATTGAGTCATATCTTTTTTGTACATGTAAAAGGTTTGCAAAGTAAAAAAGCCCAATGTCCACCCGAAAGGGAGTTCCCATCTCCTACAGAAAACACTGTTCTGAACTGCCTAAAAACAGCTTGTTTGTAGTCCAGCCTTTTCCCTTTGATCCCTGTGACGTCCCAGTAAAATGCACGTCATAATGCTCGCCAAGCGGCCAGGGTTCCAGGGTTCACTTCAGGTCTTTCTTTCTTATTTTGTTTCCTCTCATTTGGAGGCAGTACAGTACGTCTGTGGTGTGTAGTGGCAGTTTTCAATTAAAGCCTGACGAGCCAAACAATGCATAAAAAGAAAATTAATAAATAAAGTAGAAAGAGACAAAATGAGTTGCAGATTTTATTTTTATGTGTCTGCAGTCAGTAGGTTAAATATATTGTCAGACAGGCTGCCACAAACTGATGCACCAAACTGCAACTACTACATGTTGTTTGTATATATCTGCAGTATTTCTCACACCTGCAGGGGGGAAAAAACCTCATACAATGAAAATAAAGGATTTCCACGTCCATAGATTGTAAAATCAACACAGTGCTATACCCTGCTGACAAAGTGAAAGCTGTGATGTAGATTACGGACACCTCCCCTGTTTGTTATAATGCAACAGTGATGTGCTTTCGTCTACAGGTGCTGAGCTGAAAGCACCAGAAAGAAAAGCAGATAGAACAAACTCACATTTAAAATTCTTTACCATGATGTTTAAGGTCTTTATATTGTGTTTCCTTCATCTGCCAGGGAATAAGGGTGAGTATTTCAGACAGAGTAAGATCCTACACAGCTAACCATTTCAGTATTTAAAATAACATCTGTTCTTTTTCTACAGGTGCCTCAAATACCTACACTGTCAGTCAAAAACCTCCTTTCATCATAAAAGGAACTGGTGAATCTGTTGCCAGTGAGATCAAATGTTCACACAGCATAACAAATTTTGATCGCATTCTCTGGTACAAACAAGATGAAAACAAAGCGCTAAAGTTCCTGGGATATCTGTATCTGGACTCCCTATACCCCGAGGACGACGTGAAAGGAAAAATCAGCTTTGATGGAGACGGCCGTAAAGAGTCAAGCCTCACTGTTTCAAATGTTTCATTAAATGACAGGGGTGTGTATTTCTGTGCTGCCAGTCAGCACAGTGCTGCAGATTCCCCTCAAGTCAATACAAAAACTGTCTGCACACAGACAAGATGTTCAGGCTCTTGAACACCTGCAGCCAGCCTCCATCTAAACTGAGCCTTTGAAATTATTATCAACTGTTGTACAAAATATGCTCGTCACATTCTTTAGATGTGCAGAATATAATATTTCTGATATTGTCTCATCAACTACAAGATTGATGGAGTCTTGAACTACAGACCACTGATAAAATGCAGACATCCAATCTATTCTGCTTCCTACAGCGTTCCTTCATAAATAAATAAAAAGCAAACTTCATAAATCAGACTTGATCATAATTTATAACTTTACTCACATCACATTCTTGCACTGCCATGCCAGTACAGAAATACCTTCCATATTCTGTTTTAAAGGGGCTATATGTAGTTTTTCAATGAAATCACTAATGAATCAATTTTTACTGCATTATTGTCAATAGGCTCAAACCTCAGTTAGAAATAAAGCACACGCCTGTTTCCTCTGTTGCTTGGAACAGCCACTATTCTGCTTTTAATGCAAAGGCAATGGATCAGGATGCGGGTCCTGCAGACCACAGCGACAAAACACCCCAGCTAATGAAATGCAGTCTTCTAACAAAACAACCAGCTCACGGCACAAAGCAAGACTCCAACATAAACTCTAAGTAAGGATAAAAACAGCAATAAAGGTTTATGTGATGAAGACTGTCAGGCCAACGAGATTCAGATAATGTCAGTGAAAACAGTCAATATCAGAAAATCTGGAAAAACATGGATAGTTACGCTAGCTATGTGGCCAACGCTGAGCAGTTGCTAACCTCATCTAGTGCATTGCAATATATAATATGTACCATTATTGCTTTCCACATAACTTCACCAGGTAAAGGCAAGGTAAGCAAGTTGTTTCTAAAACACTTTTTGTCTTTATACACCAACACATATTAAATAGAGAGTATAAAAACCAGGTGTCTGTAGTCCTCTCAGGGCTGCAATAAACACAGACACTTGTTCCATTCACGTCAGTGGACATAACACAGATGAGCCAATGGCTGAAGCAGAGCTGTAGTTAGTGTTGGTGTAATCAGTAAAAATAAATAAATAATAAAAAGTAATAACAATAGTGGATTATATTTATATAGCACTTTTGACTGCCAAAGGGCTTAAGGGGGGAAACACCAGAGAAACTTTGACAGAAGTACACTGGGAAATAATGTACTAATATTAAAATATATATATACACACACCTGTTCATATGCCGTTGTTGGAGTGTGAAGCTCGACTCAGGTCCTAGAAAATGTGCTGCTTAACTTGCACCTCGTCCTCTCCGTCCTGCCTGTTCTTCCTCGGACCTCCCACCTCTGCGCCTCGACCCCGGTCCTCTCCTGGTCTGTGCTTGGCTCTGGAGTGCAGTCCTCAGAGACAATAATGCTGTCACCGTGGAAGCTCTGACATGCAAAACAACGTCCATGTTGGGAGTCAAACACGAAATCACGTTCGTGTAACGGGAAAATGTGGATCAGCCTGTTTTTAGCTTTGCCCAATGTTAGCGAAGCTGTTAGCACAGCTAAGTTACCTGTTGCTAACAGTTAACTAGCCAGCGCGTTACTGATCAAAACTCGGTCTTTTTAAACCTGTCCAATATTAACATGCTAGATAGACAGTGAGTACTAACACCACGGTTAGTTGTTTCATTTCATAATGATAAGGTTACACGTTTTCTTACACCTGATGTGAGCGGCTGCACTGCGCTCCTCTTCGCTGGTCCTCCAGCTGCAACGGCAACGTGCGTTCACGTATTTTGGGGGCGTGGCTTTAGAAGGAGCCCAGAAGGGAGTTTCTCTGTTGGATCCTTTCAAAATCCAGCCGTTAGTATTTTTAAAAAAAACATGGAACACTCCTGACGTCACTCCTGCTTCTTTTTTTGTTACGTCACTCTTTACTGAGACCAAACGCGTCAGAATCGATCAGATATCTCACACTTTCTGCAGAGAATTGTAAAACCAGACAACAACATATCAGAAGAAATACTTTGTGCAGAGAACTGTAAAACTTTGCAACTAAATATCAGGAGAAATACCATTTTATCTAGTTAATCCCACTATCTACTGACATGCCAGTATTAGCTCTAGGTCTTGTTGTGCTTCCTTGGGTCGCCAAAACTGCTGGACATCTCATCAGCTCTGTACTGAGCCATAATCAACCCAGTACACCCAGGATTAACCCAGCAGAACCTGTGATCCATGAATCACCTCCTGTACCAGCACCAGACGAGAAAAACATCATCTATGGATCCATCGTCCAGACAGACTTTGAGGACCAAACCTGCAGTAATCCCAGGTTGCTGGGTCTGAGAAATGGCCGCCACTCCATAAACTTGGACTGGTTAGTTGATGAAACAGAGCAAATTCAACAAGAGCAGGATGACCCCTCTGCACGCACTTACCGTGTAGTAACGCCACAAGTCCAGACAGACTTTGAGGACCAAACCTGCAGTAATCCCAGGTTGCTGGATCTGAGAAATGGCTGCCACTCCATAAACTTGGACTGGTTAGTTGATGAAACAGAGCAAAACAAACAAGAGCAGGATGACCTCTCTGTATTTTTTTGCCCTGCAGTACCACCACAAGTCCAGACAGACTTTGAGGACCAAACCTGCAGTAATCCCAGGTTGCTGGATCTGAGAAATGGCTGCCACTCCCCAAACTTGGACTGGTTAGTTAATGAAACAGAGCAAATTCAACAAGAGCAGGATGACCTCTCTGTATTTTTTGCCCTGCTGTACCACCACAAGTCCAGACAGACTTTGAGGACCAAACCTGCAGTAATCCCAGGTTGCTGGATCTGAGAACTGGCCGCCACTCCCTAAACTTGGACTGGTTAATTGATGACACAGAGCAAAACCAACAAGAGCAGGATGATCCCTCTGCACGCACTTACCGTGTAGTAACGCCACAAATCCAGACAGACTTTGAGGACCAAACCTGCAGTAATCCCAGGTTGCTGGATCTGAGAAATGGCCGCCACTCCCTAAACTTGGACTGGTTAGTTAATGAAACAGAGCAAATTCAACAAGAGCAGGATGGCCCCTCTGTATTTTTTTGCCCTGCAGTACCACCACAAGTCCAGACAGACTTTGAGGACCAAACCTGCAGCAATCCCAGGTTGCTGGATCTGAGAAATGGCCGCCACTCCATAAACTTGGACTGGTTAGTTGATGACACAGATCAAATTCAACAAGAGCAGGATGACCCCTCTGCACGCACTTACCGTGTAGTAACGCCACAAGTCCAGACAGACTTTGAGGACCAAACCTGCAGTAATCCCAGGTTGCTGGATCCGAGAAATGGCCACCACTCCCTAAACTTGGACTGGTTAGTTGATGACACAGAGCAAAACAAACAAGAGCAGGATGACACCTCTGCACGCACTTACCGTGTAGTAACGCCACAAGTCCAGACAGACTTTGAGGACCAAACCTGCAGTAATCCCAGGTTGCTGGGTCTGAGAAATGGCCGCCACTCCATAAACTTGGACTGGTTAGTTGATGAAACAGAGCAAAACAAACAAGAGCAGGATGACCTCTCTGTATTTTTTTGCCCTGCAGTACCACCACAAATCCAGACAGACTTTGAGGACCAAACCTGCAGGAATCCCAGGTTGCTGCATCCGAGAAATGGCCGCCACTCCACTGGCATGGACTGTCGGGGTAGTGTATCCGAGCAAAACAAACAAGAGCAGGATGACCTCTCTGCACGTAATTACCGTGTGATTCACAAGAGTCATTTTGGTAGCGAGAGGCTTGAGCCTTCTTCTGGCTCTCTCTACAAATCTTCATATGTGTGCCCCGACCACACTTCCCCAGCAAAAATTGCAGATGCTCTTCGGACAATGACAGAAGATATCAAACTACGTATCTACAGGGCTTGCCAAAAATTATTAGACGATTACGAATTCAAGCTGTTTGTAGTTTTGGGTGGTTCTGTCCTCACTACTTCTTGGATATTTGACAGGTATGCTGCAGGTGATTTTTCTAGAGCCGCAAGAATTGCTGCTGCTTTTTCCAGAGCAAACTTTTGGATTTAAGCATTGCATACCTGGCCTATATAATGACATATGAGTGACAATGAGGACAAAGAGGGTTAAGCCTTCTACTTGCTATCTCCACAAGTCTTCTGTACCTCAAACTGTCTTACCCAGTGAAAGAGAGAGGCACAAATATTGGAACGTGAAAGTGTATCTAAAAATCTGTATATATTTTTATTTTATTATATTACTATTTTTATTAGTTTTTATAAATGTATAATATCTGTAAATATTTTTCTATTTTTTTATTCTATTTTTATACATTACTATTTTTTTATATTTTAATAAGTATATAATATCTGTAAATATTTTTCTATTTTTTTATTCTATTATTATACATTACTATTTTTTTATATTTTAATAAGGTTATATATCTGTAAATATTTTTCTATTTTTTATTATATTTTTATACATTACTATTTTTTTATATTTTAATAAGGTTATATATCTGTAAATATTTTTCTATTTTTGTATTCTATTTTTATGTATTACTATTTTTTATATTTTAATAAGGTTATATATCTGTAAATATGTTTCTATTTTTTTATTCTATTTTTATGTATTACTATTTTTATATTTTAATAAATATATAATATCTGTAAATATTTTTCTATTTTTGTATTCTATTTTTATGTATTACTATTTTTATATTTTAATAAATATATAATATCTGTAAATATTTTTCTATTTTTTTATTGTATTTTATATATTACTATATTTTCATATTTCAATCCACATTTAACTCTCTGTAACATGAAGGGAATATAAACTTGACAAGAGTCAATCTGGCAACAAGAGCCATAATCTCCTCTCTCTCTACATGTCTTTATATCTGTGACCTGACCCGTCTTGCACAGTGAATGAGAGAGGCAAAAATATTGCATCACTTGCAACACTCGCAGATTTATTTCCCAGGATTCCTGGGAAACACAACAACATGACAGTATTTCAACACAACACGACTGCAAAACGCCTCAACAACACAGCATTGGTGAGACTGAACACTCCTGTTGTGGCGAAATGCAATCGTCTTGTGGACGAGGACGATCAAGACGAGGATCAGTGTCCAATACGTATCTACCCTTTCCGTTTCAGTCTCACCAATGCTGTGTTGTTGACCAACCAGCCAGATCAACCTGGGGCGAGTTCAGCGCCGACAAAACGTAGTAAAACGTTTTTTTCCAACAGGAACGGTGGTTCCCTGAACACCCTGCTGTGTACGCAAGCGCACTGAATTTTCCTCCCACAATATAAATCTAAAATATTTGCTTCTTAATAAATTTGATGTACTATATTATAGGAATGGTTTCCTTTTTCAGAGTTTATTATAATGACACACACACACTTCTGTTTTGCATTAGCATTAAATTGGACTTTAGAACAGGGGTGATTTATAAAAGGAATAAGCAGGTTCATACAAGTGTAGTGGTATCAAATACATTCAGATATCACCATGCTGTCATCACAGCCAAATAATGGTAAAGTTGACAAAGTGGAAGGACATTCCAGACTCTGACAGTATGGGTATGGCACAATACATTTGTTTAGTAAGAAATACCATTGGCATCTGTCTGCCACAATAGCCAGAGACCTGACAAGTGTTTGTGTGTGTTTGTGTGTATGAATAAATTAGTAACAGCAGATTCAAAATCACAAGTGACCAATGTTTCTGATTAAAGTTAATATTTTGTTTGAGAACGGTGAAAAAAAATGAAATTTAAATGACACGTTTAAACAGTTTGATTTATTGATTACTGTCAGGAGATGAAGATAATTTCAACAAATATAACTCAAAATGCTTCTGAATAAATTGCCTACCCTCGTCAAAAGGATTTAGCTAGGCTTCAGCCACTCAAGGACATTCACATTCTTGTTTTGAAGACTACTTCAGGTCAATGTCCTGGTTGAACAAAGATTGTCTTAATATCTAATATACTCAAAATAATTCTGAAGAAAAAAATCATGCAATCAACAGGAAATTGATTTGCAGCGATTTTTTTAGTAATTGATTTCATTTTCAAGCAAAAACGCTAAATATTCTCTGGTTTAAGCTTCTCAAATGTAAGAAGTAAATTAAATATCTTTAGGTTTTGGACTGTTGTTCAGACAGAAAAAAATTATTCATTATTCAACATCCAGCCACTATAATCTCTGCTCCTACAATTATATTGAATTTCTGCAATGGTAAACTCAACTAGCCTGCAACATTACATCCATAAAAAATGCTGGACAGTGCTGGGTTAATAAAAACATTAACACCCACGTGAAGCTAACACTGACCTCAAGCACCAGTGTTGTCCATTTAGAAACCTCACCTCTCTCCTCCATAACAACTAAATAAACTCTCAGTATATTTACAGCGAGCCACAAAACGGTGACTTTCAACAGCTACTGTGACGTACTGACATAAATAACAGTAAATAAACCATATTGGTACTTTTTCTTGAATACAAAGCAGTTCCAGCACATTTTACAAACACAAAGTTACCAAAGTGCTGCACAGAAGACTCAAACATACAAAACAATTAATATAAAATTTTGTAAAAACAAAATAAGAGCATCAGCTTTAAATACTAAAATACAGTAAAACAATCAGAGGACCACACAACTCACGGAGTTAAAAGCCAAAGAATAAAAATGTGTCTGTAGAGGAGAAACACTCAACTGTAGGGGCTGTTCGGACATGGAGGGGCAGAGCGTTCCAGAGTTTAGGTCCAACCACAGAAAAGGCCCTCTCTTGTCTTGGGGGCCGCAAGCTGGAGCTGGCCCTCTGACCTCAGTGACCGCACTTAAATTTGGATGAGGTCCGAGATATATGTTGGGGCCAGTCCATTCACAGCTTTAAAAAACAAACAATAAAATCAATCCTAAAACGAACAGGAAGCCAGTGCAATGAGGCAAGAATTGGAGTTATATGAGCGCGCTTTTTGGTTCCTGTTAAAAGACGTGCTGCAGAATTTTGGACTAACTGTAAGCGTGAAAGTGCGTTGTGATTTATACCGATATAAAGTGCATTACAGTACAACGAGAAGAAATAAAAGGTTTAACTTTGGCTACAAGGCGAAGATGATAAAAACTAGATTTCACAACCGCATTTATTTGTTTGTCAAGTTTAAAATCACTGTCTATTTTGACCCCAAGGTTAGTTACAACAGGATGCACAAAGTCATTCTCTCATTTAGTTTTAAGAAATTTTGGCCTAACCACGCTTTGACGTGAATGACAGTGAGGTATTTGGATTCATTAGAAGTGACTGACTTTGGTTTCCCATGCCATCTCCATTGTGTAAGCAACAGCTCAGTGCTTATTTATCGTCAATAAAAAACTCCACTTGTTTAACATTAAAGCTGTCTGTGAAGCAAGGACTGAAGGAAAGACCAGCAATGTACCAGCTGCAGTAAAACATGGACCGTGGCAGTTGTTTGAAAGCTCTCGTTTCATGTGGAAGTTTTTGCACAGAAACTAAAATCACTAGTGACTCTGAAATGAGAGGGTACAGCATGGCTGAGCACCACACGGGCGTAGTCAAAGTCCTGCTTAAGCTGCATGGCACCGTACAAACTCCGGGCAACATCGTTGTCTGTTGGACACAAAACAGATGGTCACTAGAACATGACATTTCAATACCTGGAAACGGAATTCAAATGTTGGACGAACTTTTAAAAGGACAAACCCACTTTGTAACCCTTTATCCTCTGTGTTCACTGTTCCTACCTGGTTGCAGTGGGTCCTCAATGTAGAGCATGGAGGGCCTGTAGCCATCCATCATGTTCTTCTGAACCTCGTCTTTGGCAACGTAACAACCTCCATCTTTTATCCTGATACCTACTTTCAGGTAGTTGAAGTGGCGACCGTAGAGTTCAAAGAATTCAATGAGAAGAGCACCGATGTTGATGTTGGGACTGCACACGTCCTTCCCCTGTAGCGAAGCTGGAAAACACACGGGTAGATGTTAGACTTATTGCAGATGGTTAAATTAGTTTAACAGGTCATTGACGAGACTTTTAGATGCTTCGACAGCATGACGGTCTTCACATTGTTCATGCTGAATACTGCATGTAGGGCTGTCTTTTTATTCAGAATTGTGCATATGTTTATAATTCATGTATTCATTAACCACAATTGTTGCAAATACCTTAATAAAACATCCTCCAAAAAATAAGATCAAGTTGATAAAAACATTAAGAGGTCTTGCTAATGAGCAAATTCCACCGGTGAAAACCTCATTGAGGTCTCTCTGCAGTAGGAACTGCTTCAGCACCAGATAAGTTGGCACAGGGTTTTTCTACAGGACCAAAAATAGACAGAGGAAGTGCATATAAAGAAATAGATGTTGATGCTTTCAGCACCCTCCAGAGGAAAACAGCAATTTAAAGTCTCAAAAGTCCAGGATTTTTCTTGGTTTATCCTACTGATCACTAATATATAGAAGCGTTCAAAACTTGACAGATTATAAAATGAACACCATCTTGCTTTTGACGTTAGCAATGCCAGTTAAGGTGTGTTACGTCCCAAGGTCTAGGGGTGTCCGGGACGCAACATAAAAGTGTAGCTTCCCACTCTTCCCATTCCCAAACAAGGCCAGAACACAGGAAATACAATTTAGCAGTTTTATTGGCTTCAGAGATGAGCAGTGCCCAAAACAACAACCAAAACAATCTAATAAACCTAAACTTTCCTAAACCAAAACAGAAAGTAAATAAAAGACAAAGCTCTAAACCAGGCTTCTAATCTCAAAAGCAAAAAGGGCTTCTCACTCCTACACACTGCTATACAACAAAGAAATATCCGTATATTATAACAAAAAACCCTTAACAAAAAAAAGGTTGTCAACAACAATCAGAATTACGAAGCTAAGCTGCACAGATTCATTTACAAGGTCTACTCTACACAGCAGTTTTCTACTCACAACTAACAGGTATAACACACAGTACACAGGCTCAGGTTGGGAAAGGCAGAGAGAGAGAGAGGAGTTCCTGTCAGTGGTGCTTAAGATGGCTGTTGTCATCCAGGTGACCAATCAGGAGACTCCAATCAGCTCTGCAGGACCAATCCAGTGTGCCCTCCTGTTCTCCATTACCTGCATACACACACATACTCTAAGGGAGGAGAGACAGCTGACATTGCAGGGGGAGATAAAAACAAACTAAATATGACCCCAGGGTCATAACAGGTGAGTTAGGAAATGATTACTCTAAATATGCCACACAAGACGTTAAACCTCCATTAAGCAATGCTTTGGAATAAAATCAACTAAAAAAAGTTTACGTTCTTTTATTGTTTTATGTTTTTGCTCTTGTTGTAGACAATTATTCATTTGTTGGAAGTGATCTCAGATAACAACAGAATCCAAAAGTTTCTAATTGGTAACTTTTACTATTATATACACAGGTCTTACTGATGGGAGTGATGTCACCCAGACTGACATACTGTGGATACACCAGGGTGAAAATGCAACAATAAACTGCAGCCACACAAAGGATGCTAACCATTTCCAGATGTACTGGTACAGACAGCGGCCAGGAGAAGCAATGAAACAAATAGTGTTCACAACAACAGCCAGCAAAGATCACGACTTTGGAGAATTCAGCAAAGAGAAATTCTCAGCCACCAAGCCTGACGCTCACAGTGGGACATTCACTGTGAAGAATCTGGTGCCAGAAGATAAAGGCTTGTACTTCTGTGCTGTTAGTGAGCACAGTGATACAAACACACTCAATAGCTGAACAAAAACCCCAGTGCACTGTTAGCACACCTCTGTCCCACCATCTCACGTACTGTAGGGGGACCTCAAGTACCACAAATACTCAGTCACTTTGATTCACCAAGCAAATTGTGATACAGCAGCCAACAGGATCAGAAAACGTCACACGCTGCAGAGACACTCCCACCTGCAACTCTTCATCTCTCTGTAACTACACTAACAGATTTATGTGAGTCTCCAAACACCAGAACATGGACATTATCAAACATGGTCTCTTCAGCTTTTTATTATTTCTGCTCTGGATGAAAGGTGACTTACATTAAGGATTAGTTGCTTTTCATTATTAAACTATAATTTTTGACATGGCAGCAGAGGGTGACAATGGTTTTAAAGTGTTTTAAAGTAAATGCATTTTCACTATTAACCTAACTGTTTTACACACAGGTCTAATTGATGGGAGTGATGTCACCCAGACTGACATACTGTGGATACACCAGGGTGAAAATGCAACAATAAGCTGCAGCCACACCAAAGGTGGCAGCTATTTCCAGATGTACTGGTACAGACAGCTGCCAGGAGAAGCAATGAAACAAATAGTGTTCACAACAACAGCCAGCAAAGATCACGACTTTGGAGAATTCAGCAAAGAGAAATTCTCAGCCACCAAGCCTGACGCTCACAGTGGGACATTCACTGTGAAGAATCTGGTGCCAGAAGATAAAGGGTTGTACTTCTGTGCCGTTAGTGAGCACAGTGATACAGACACATGTGGAAGCTGAACAAAAACCCAGCGCGCTGTTGGCAAAACATTTGATCTGCTCTACTGTAGGGGGACCTCAAGTACAACCACAGAACATCACATACTACAGCGACACTCCCACCTCTAACTCTTCATATCTCCGTTGTAACGTCACACCTGCCATCACTCAGACTGACACTCACTGTCACTCTGGATCATTTTGCTCAGAACACAATAATGATCACAGCTGGTCTGATAAACTCTCTGCAGCCCTGCTCTGTATTATAGGTAATGTACGTTATGACGCTGAGCACTGAGAAGAGTTACTGCAGCTTTAAATGCATACAAATATCCATGTGAACAGAAGATACTGTTTCTTTGATGGACTACAGAGGGAGCTCTAGACTAACACTGATATGACATCTAACTATTTGTAACTGCACTTCTATATTTTTGTTAAAAACAAGTATCATTTGTGGTAATAGTGGCTGTGCAAAATAGGGTTTCAGCCTGAGAAATGTTTTTTACAGGGTAGAAAACGTCACAATGTGAAATTATGGGCAATGACTGTGACACCATAAGTACTTATCTAACCCAACATGTTTAACAGACATTTGCAGACATTTCCTGTTTTTATTATTTTCCTGTTGGTTTCAAACTGTGTTAAATTATACTTTCATTGTGTTTTAATTCCATTAAACTCTCAAACCCATTCCTTGCAAAAATTTGCCAAAGTTAATTCTTGACAATAGAAACAACACCATACAAAATTATTTTAACTCAAGGTCCACTTACTGGAATCTCGTTACACTTACACTACCAAAGACCATAAGATACGTTTAGAAGCATCTTTTCTTCTGCCCTCCCAGGTCCATGGCACTTCACTCTCCTCGTTTACTCCTCTCACGGAGAGCGAAGTATCAGAACTCCAAAACTATCGAACAGGCAGTCTTCAAACAGGTCTCAGAATTCCTCTCACGGAATGACCTCCTAGATCCATATCAGTCTTGTTTTAAGAGTGGCCACTCTTCTGAAATGGCTCTTTTGTCTGTAACAGAAGCCCTAAGGTCAGCTAAAGCTACAGCCCAATCCTCGGTTCTTATCCTGCTTGACCTATCAGCTGCCTTTGACAAATTCAGTCACAGGATTCTGCTATCCACATTCTCAGTAATGGGCATCTTGAGTAAAGCAGTCCTGTGGTTTGAATCCTACCTCTTGGGGCGTTCCTACTATGTTTTGTGGCAAGGACAATTTTTCCTCCTCCCACTGCCTCTCACGATACGCAACTCTACCTATCCTTCCTGCCAGACGACCCCACCGTCTCAACGCGGATCACGGACTGTCTCTCGGACATATCTGCCTGGATGAAGGCCTACCACCTTCAACTAAAGCTCTCTAAGACTGAACTCTTGGTCATTCCAGCCAAGCAATCTATCCACCATAACATCAAACTACAAATTGACTCCTCAACCATCACTCCAACCAGGGTGGTGAGAAACTTGGGTGCCATGATTGATGACCAGCTGTCCTTTTCAGACCATGTTGCTGCTGTCTCTCGGTTGTGCCGCTTTTCTCTATACAACATCAGAAAAATCAGGCCCTACTTCACTAAGTACGCCACCCAGCTTCTAGGACAGGCCATGGTTATCTCTCGCCTCGAATATTGCAATGCCCTCCTAGCAGGTCTTCCAGCTTGTGCGGTGAAACCCTTACAAATGGTTCAGAACACAGCAGCACGTCTGGTTTTGGATCAGCCCAAAAGGACTCATGTCACTCCATTACTCAGTGACCTCCACTGGCTCCCCGCGGCCTCCAGAATCAGATTCAAGTCACCAATGCTTTCATACAGTGACTACTGGGTCTACACCCATCGACCTAAACTCCATAATACAAGTTTACGTTCCTTCTCAGCCACTACACTCCTCCAACGAACGGCTTCACACAAAGCAATCCCAGTCCCGGCTTTTGTCATCTGTGACACCACGATGGTGGAACGAGCTATCACACGCCATCAGAGCAAGAAGCTCTTGAAAACTCATCTCTTCCGAGAACGCTTCCTCTTATAACACCTCTAACTCTTAACCTCCAACATGCACTTCCTGTGCTCTTCTTCTATCCCCTTACAATGATCTTGTATTGATTGCACTTTTTTGTTAAATCTTACTTCTTTCCCTCGGTATTTACCCCCTTGATGCAATATGTGCTATTAGCTCTTACTCGTATTTATTGCTACTCTTACTAGTATATATTGTCATTTGTAGATCTCGTGCTGTATTTGATGCGTTGTTGATGCTTGTATGTTGTTTCTCAAATGTAAGTCGCTTTGGATAAAGCGCCTGCCAAATGAGTAAATGTAAATTTGAAATTACTACCAATTGAGAAATACAAAAGTCCAAAATGGTTAGTCCGTGTCAGGAAGTCAGTACCTACATACATGTACAACACATGCAGTTATTATGTTTTGTGAATGAGGTTAGAAAGAACTAACTGGACCTTTCATAAAACAATTACTGCATTATGAGGAACAGACTGTCATTCACATGAACGGTTAAAGAGGTCATATAATGCTTTTTGGGTTTTTCCTGTTACGGTGTGGTGTGGGGACAGAGTGGACCCAAACGCAACTCTGGGGAAGAACAGGCTTTATTGAAGGGGATACGGGGTTGAGGGAGTGGAGGTGAGGGAGCGGCGGACGCCGGGGAAACACGAGCACGGGGAACCGAGGAGACTGAGACAAGGGAGCCAGGGGCGCTGGGGACCGAGGAAGCAAGGAGGCACGGGGAGGAGCCGGGAGGACGCCATGGAAGAGGTCCGAGGGGAGAGGGTAGGGTGGCGAGCCCAGCTGGCGGAGCGGAGCACGGAGGTGAGTGGACCTGGAGGGGAGACAGACAGGCAGACAGGGTCAGACACAGCGGAGACAAAGCACAGAGATATAGAAAAGATACACAATACGTGCGAGCTTGAATGGTGAAGTGGCACCGGGTAAGGAGCAACGATGATCAAGCAGGGGTTGACTGGAGAACCGGGTAGAAGTACTGTTGGAGATGAGGCTGATTGCTGGCAGGTGTGGCAGGCAGAGGAGGTGGCTGACGAGGTCGCTGGCCGGGCTCAGGAGCGGAGGGAGAGAGAGAGGGAGAGCACACGCAGGGGAGGAGACACAGGGAGGCAGGCAGAGTACAGGAAGACACCAGGGGAAAACAGAATCACAAGCAAAAAGGGAGAAATAACCAGGACACTCACCGTCAGCCGGGCTGCCAACACAACATTTCCCCTCTCCTTTATTGAGTCATATCTTTTTTGTACATGTAAAAGGTTTGCAAAGTAAAAAAGCCTAATGTCCACCCGAAAGGGAGTTCCCATCTCCTACAGAAAACACTGTTCTGAACTGCCTAAAAACAGCTTGTTTGTAGTCCAGCCTTTTCCCTTTGATCCCTGTGACGTCCCAGTAAAATGCACGTCATAATGCTCGCCAAGCGGCCAGGGTTCCAGGGTTCACTTCAGGTCTTTCTTTCTTATTTTGTCTCCTCTCATTTGGAGGCAGTACAGTATGTCTGTGGTGTGTAGTGGCAGTTTTCAGTTAAAGCCTGACGAGCCAAACAATGCATAAAAAGAAAATGAATAAATAAAGTAGAAAGAGACTAAATGAGTTGCAGATTTTATTTTTATGTGTCTGCAGTCAGTAGGTTAAATATATTGTCAGACAGGCTGCCACAAACTGATGCACCAAACTGCAACTACTACATGTTGTTTGTATATATCTGCAGTATTTCTCACACCTGCAGGGGGGAAAAAACCTCATACAATGAAAATAAAGGATTTCCACGTCCATAGATTGTAAAATCAACACAGTGCTATACCCTGCTGACAAAGTGAAAGCTGTGATGTAGATTACGGACACCTCCCCTGTTTGTTATAATGCAACAGTGATGTGCTTTCGTCTACAGGTGCTGAGCTGAAAGCACCAGAAAGAAAAGCAGATAGAACAAACTCACATTTAAAATTCTTTACCATGATGTTTAAGGTCTTTATATTGTGTTTCCTTCATCTGCCAGGGAATAAGGGTGAGTATTTCAGACAGAGTAAGATCCTACACAGCTAATCATTTCAGTATTTAAAATAACATCTTTTTCTACAGGTGCCTCAAATACCTACACTGTCAGTCAAAAACCTCCTTTCATCATAAAAGGAACTGGTGAATCTGTTGCCAGTGAGATCAAATGTTCACACAGCATAACAAATTTTGAGGTCATTCTCTGGTACAAACAAGATGAAAACAAAACGCTAAAGTTCCTGGGATATCTGTATCTGGACTCCCTATACCCCGAGGACGACGTGAAAGGAAAAATCAGCTTTGATGGAGACGGCCGTAAAGAGTCAAGCCTCACTGTTTCAAATGTTTCATTAAATGACAGGGGTGTGTATTTCTGTGCTGCCAGTCAGCACAGTGCTGCAGATTCCCCTCAAGTCAATACAAAAACTGCACACAGACAAGATGTTCAGGCTCTTGAACACCTGCAGCCAGCCTCCATCTAAACTGAGCCTTTGAATTTATTATCAACTGTTGTACAAAATATGCTCGTCACATTTCTTGGATGTGCAGAACATATTGTTTCTGATATTGTCTCATCAACTACAAGATTGATGGAGTCTTGAACTACAGACCACTGATAAAATGCAGACATCCAAACTATTCTGCTTCCTACAGCGTTCCTTCATAAATAAATAAAAAGCAAACTTCATAAATCAGACTTGATCATAATTTATAACTTTACTCACATTCTTGCGCTGCCATGCCAGTACAGAAATACCTTCCATATTCTGTTTTAACGGGACTATATGTAGTTTTTCAATGAAATCATTAATAAATCACATTTTTACTGCATTATTGTCAATAGGCTCAAACCTCAGTTAGAAATAAAGCACACGCCTGTTTCCCTCTGTTGCTTGGAACAGCCACTATTCTGCTTTTAATGCAAAGGCAATGGATCAGGATGCGGGTCCTGCAGACCACAGCGACAAAACACCCCAGCTAATGAAATGCAGTCTTCTAACAAAACAACCAGCTCACGGCACAAAGCAAGACTCCAACATAAACTCTAAGTAAGGATAAAAACAGCAATAAAGGTTTATGTGATGAAGACTGTCAGGCCAACGAGATTCAGATAATGTCAGTGAAAACAGTCAACATCAGAAAATCTGGGAAAACATGGATAGTTACGCTAGCTATGTGGCCAACGCTGAGCAGTTGCTAACCTCATCTAGTGCATTGCAATATATAATATGTACCATTATTGCTTTCCACATAACTTCACCAGGTAAAGGCAAGGTAAGCAAGTTGTTTCTAAAACACTTTTGTATTTGTTGAAAGTGTCTTTATACACCAACACATATTAAATAGAGAGTATAAAAACCAGGTATCTGTAGTCCTCTCAGGGCTGCAATAAACACAGACACTTGTTCCATTCACGTCAGTGGACATAACACAGATGAGCCAATGGCTGAAGCAGAGCTGTAGTTAGTGTTGGTGTAATCAGTAAAAAATAAAAAATAAATAAAAAGTAATAACAATAGTGGATTATATTTATATAGCACTTTTGACTGCCAAAGGGCTTAAGGGGGGAAACACCAGAGAAACTTTGACAGAAGTACACTGGGAAATAATGTACTAATATTAAAATATATACACACACACACCTGTTCATATGCCGTTGTTGGAGTGTGAAGCTCGACTCAGGTCCTAGAAAATGTGCTGCTTAACTTGCACCTCGTCCTCTCCGTCCTGCCTGTTCTTCCTCGGACCTCCCACCTCTGCGCCTCGACCCCGGTCCTCTCCTGGTCTGTGCTTGGCTCTGGAGTGCAGTCCTCAGAGACAATAATGCTGTCACCGTGGAAGCTCTGACATGCAAAACAACGTCCATGTTGGGAGTCAAACACGAAATCACGTTCGTGTAACGGGAAAATGTGGATCAGCCTGTTTTTAGCTTTGCCCAATGTTACCGAAGCTGTTAGCACAGCTAAGTTACCTGTTGCTAACAGTTAACTAGCCAGCGCGTTACTGATCAAAACTCGGTCTTTTTAAACCTGTCCAATATTAACATGCTAGATAGACAGTGAGTACTAACACCACGGTTAGTTGTTTCATTTCATAATGATAAGGTTACACGTTTTCTTACACCTGATGTGAGCGGCTGCACTGCGCTCCTCTTCGCTGGTCCTCCAGCTGCAACGGCAACGTGCGTTCACGTATTTTGGGGGCGTGGCTTTAGAAGGAGCCCAGAAGGGAGTTTCTCTGTTGGATCCTTTCAAAATCCAGCCGTTAGTATTTTTAAAAAAAACATGGAACACTCCTGACGTCACTCCTGCTTCTTTTTTTTGTTACGTCACTCTTTACTGAGACCAAACGCGTCAGAATCGATCAGATATCTCACACTTTCTGCAGAGAATTGTAAAACCAGACAACAACATATCAGAAGAAATACTTTGTGCAGAGAACTGTAAAACTTTGCAACTAAATATCAGGAGAAATACCATTTTATCTAGTTAATCCCACTATCTACTGACATGCCAGTATTAGCTCTAGGTCTTGTTGTGCTTCCTTGGGTCGCCAAAACTGCTGGACATCTCATCAGCTCTGTACTGAGCCATAATCAACCCAGTACACCCAGGATTAACCCAGCAGAACCTGTGATCCACGAATCACCTCCTGTACCAGCACCAGACGAGAAAAACATCATCTATGGATCCATCGTCCAGACAGACTTTGAGGACCAAACCTGCAGTAATCCCAGGTTGCTGGGTCTGAGAAATGGCCGCCACTCCATAAACTTGGACTGGTTAGTTGATGAAACAGAGCAAAACAAACAAGAGCAGGATGACCCCTCTGCACGCACTTACCGTGTAGTAACGCCACAAGTCCAGACAGACTTTGAGGACCAAACCTGCTGTAAACCCAGGTTGCTGGATCCAAGAAATGGCCGCCACTCCGTAAACTTGGACTGGTTAGTTGATGACACAGAGCAAATTCAACAAGAGCAGGATGACCCCTCTGTATTTTTTTGCCCTGCAGTACCACCACAAGTCCAGACAGACTTTGAGGACCAAACCTGCAGCAATCCCAGGTTGCTGGATCCAAGAAATGGCCGCCACTCCCTAAACTTGGACTGGTTAGTTGGTGAAACAGAGCAAAACAAACAAGAGCAGGATGACCCCTCTGCACGCACTTACCGTGTAGTAACGCCACAAGTCCAGACAGACTTTGAGGACCAAACCTGCAGTAATCCCAGGTTGCTGGATCCGAGAAATGGCCGCCACTCCCTAAACTTGGACTGGTTAGTTGATGACACAGAGCAAATTCAAAAGAGCAGGATGACCCCTCTGCACGCACTTACCGTGTAGTAACACCACAAATCCAGACAGACTTTGAGGACCAAACCTGCTGTAATCCCAGGTTGCTGGATCCGAGAAATGGCCGCCACTCCCTAAACTTGGACTGGTTAGTTGATGACACAGAGCAAACCAACAAGAGCAAGATGACCCCTCTGCACGCACTTACCGTGTAGTAACGCCACAAGTCCAGACAGACTTTGAGGACCAAACCTGCAGTAATCCCAGGTTGCTGGATCTGAGAAATGGCTTCCACTCCGTAAACTTGGACTGGTTAGTTAATGAAACAGAGCAAAACAAACAAGAGCAGGATGACCCCTCTGTATTTTTTGCCCTGCAGTACCCCACAAGTCCAGACAGACTTTGAGGACCAAACCTGCTGTAAACTCAGGTTGCTGGATCCGAGAAATGGCTGCCACTCCATAAACTTGGACTGGTTAGTTGATGACACAGAGCAAATTCAACAAGAGCAGGATGACCTCTCTGCACGCACTTACTGTGTAGTAACGCCACAAGTCCAGACAGACTTTGAGGACCAAACCTGCAGTAATCCCAGGTTGCTGGATCCAAGAAATGGCCGCCACTCCGTAAACTTGGACTGGTTAGTTGATGAAACAGAGCAAAACAAACAAGAGCAGGATGACCTCTCTGTATTTTTTGCCCTGCAGTACCACCACAAGTCCAGACAGACTTTGAGGACCAAACCTGCTGTAATCCCAGGTTGCTGGATCCAAGAAATGGCCGCCACTCCGTAAACTTGGACTGGTTAGTTGATGACACAGAGCAAATTCAACAAGAGCAGGATGACCCTCTGCACGCACTTACCGTGTAGTAACGCCACAAGTCCAGACAGACTTTGAGGACCAAACCTGCAGTAATCCCAGGTTGCTGGATCCAAGAAATGGCCGCCACTCCGTAAACTTGGACTGGTTAGTTGATGAAACAGAGCAAAACAAACAAGAGCAGGATGACCTCTCTGTATTTTTTTGCCCTGCAGTACCACCACAAGTCCAGACAGACTTTGAGGACCAAACCTGCTGTAAACCCAGGTTGCTGGATCTGAGAAATGGCTGCCACTCCCCAAACTTGGACTGGTTAGTTAATGAAACAGAGCAAATTCAACAAGAGCAGGATGACCTCTCTGTATTTTTTTGCCCTGCTGTACCACCACAAGTCCAGACAGACTTTGAGGACCAAACCTGCAGTAATCCCAGGTTGCTGGGTCTGAGAAATGGCCGCCACTCCATAAACTTGGACTGGTTAGTTGATGAAACAGAGCAAAACAAACAAGAGCAGGATGACCTCTCTGTATTTTTTTGCCCTGCAGTACCACCACAAATCCAGACAGACTTTGAGGACCAAACCTGCAGGAATCCCAGGTTGCTGCATCCGAGAAATGGCCGCCACTCCACTGGCATGGACTGTCGGGGTAGTGTATCCGAGCAAAACAAACAAGAGCAGGATGACCTCTCTGCACGTAATTACCGTGTGATTCACAAGAGTCATTTTGGTAGCGAGAGGCTTGAGCCTTCTTCTGGCTCTCTCTACAAATCTTCATATGTGTGCCCCGACCACACTTCCCCAGCAAAAATTGCAGATGCTCTTCGGACAATGACAGAAGATATCAAACTACGTATCTACAGGGCTTGCCAAAATTATTAGACGATTACGAATTCAAGCTGTTTGTAGTTTTGGGTGGTTCTGTCCTCACTACTTCTTGGATATTTGACAGGTATGCTGCAGGTGATTTTTCTAGAGCCGCAAGAATTGCTTCTGCTTTTTCCAGAGCAAACTTTTGGATTTAAGCATTGCGTACCTGGCCTATATAATGACATATGAGTGACAATGAGGACAAAGAGGGTTAAGCCTTCTACTTGCTATCTCCACAAGTCTTCTGTACCTCAAACTGTCTTACCCAGTGAAAGAGAGAGGCACAAATATTGGAACGTGAAAGTGTATCTAAAAATCTGTATATATTTTTTTATTATATTACTATTTTTATTAGTTTTTATAAATGTATAATATCTGTAAATATTTTTCTATTTTTTATTCTATTTTTATACATTACTATTTTTTATATTTTAATAAGTATATATATATCTGTAAATATTTTTCTATTTTTTTATTCTATTTTTATACATTACTATTTTTTTATATTTTAAAAGGTTATATATCTGTAAATATTTTCTATTTTTGTATTCTATTTTTATGTATTACTATTTTATATTTTAATAAATATATATAATATCTGTAAATATTTTTCTATTTTTTTATTGTATTTTATATATTACTATATTTTCATATTTCAATCCACATTTAACTCTCTGTATCATGAAGGGAATATAAACTTGACAAGAGTCAATCTGGCAACAAGAGCCATAATCTCCTCTCTCTCTACATGTCTTTATATCTGTGACCTGACCCGTCTTGCACAGTGAATGAGAGAGGCAAAAATATTGCATCACTTGCAACACTCGCAGATTTATTTCCCAGGATTCCTGGGAAACACAACAACATGACAGTATTTCAACACAACACGACTGCAAAACGCCTCAACAACGCAGCATTGGTGAGACTGAACACTCCTGTTGCGAAATGCAATCATCTTGTGGACGAGGACGATCAAGAAGAGGATCAGTGTCCAATACGTATCTACCCTTTCCGTTTCAGTCTCACCAATGCTGTGTTGTTGACCAACCAGCCAGATCAACCTGGGGCGAGTTCAGCGCCGACAAAACGTAGTAAAACGTTTTTTTCCAACAGGAACGGTGGTTCCCTGAACACCCTGCTGTGTACGCAAGCGCACTGAATTTTCCTCCCACAATATAAATCTAAAATATTTGCTTCTTAATAAATTTGATGTACTATATTATAGGAATGGTTTCCTTTTTCAGAGTTTATTATAATGACACACACACACTTCTGTTTTGCATTAGCATTAAATTGGACTTTAGAACAGGGGTGATTTATAAAAGGAATAAGCAGGTTCATACAAGTGTAGTGGTATCAAATACATTCAGATATCACCATGCTGTCATCACAGCCAAATAATGGTAAAGTTGACAAAGTGGAAGGACATTCCAGACTCTGACAGTATGGGTATGGCACAATACATTTGTTTAGTAAGAAATACCATTGGCATCTGTCTGCCACAATAGCCAGAGACCTGACAAGTGTTTGTGTGTTTCTCAAATGTAAGAAGTAAATTAAATATGTTTAGGTTTTGGACTGTTGGTCAGACAGAAAAAAATTATTCAAGGCTTCACCATGGGCAGGCTTAGAGAATTTATACATATAATACATACATATAATTCTTCCACCATTTGTAGACAAAACAAATAAATGATTGGCAAATTAATCGATAATGAAAATAACCACTACTTGTGCCTCTATGACACATTGTAGCAAAGAGCTGCAGTAGTTGGAGCCAATGAAATGCGTTGTGGTGATATTTGTATGTAAGCATTTTAATTGATTAATTCTCCTAAGCAGAAGTTGGCAATAGGTGGATGTTTGACTGTAAACAAAGCCAATGCTCGGCAATATCCAGCCACTATAATCTCTGCTCCTACAATTATATTGAATTTCTGCAATGGTAAACTCAACTAGCCTGCAACATTACATCCATAAAAAATGCTGGACAGTGCTGGGTTAATGAAAACATTAACACCCACGTGAAGCTAACACTGACCTCAAGCACCAGTGTTGTCCATTTAGAAACCTCACCTCTCTCCTCCATAACAACTAAATAAACTCTCAGTATATTTACAGCGAGCCACAAAACGGTGACTTTCAACAGCTACTGTGACGTACTGACATAAATAACAGTAAATAAACCATATTGGGACTTTTTCTTGAATACAAAGCAGTTCCAATAAAAATGAATCCAATCCACTTTATTTCTATAGCACATTTTACAAACACAAAGTTACCAAAGTGCTGCACAGAAGACTCAAACATACAAAACAATTAATATAAAATTTTGTAAAAGCAAAATAAGAGCATCAGCTTTAAATACTAAAATACAGTAAAACAATCAGAGGACCACACAACTCGCGGAGTTAAAAGCCAAAGAATAAAAATGTGTCTTTAGAGGAGAAACACTCAACTGTAGGGGCTGTTCGGACATGGAGGGGCAGAGCGTTCCAGAGTTTAGGTCCAACCACAGAAAAGGCCCTCTCTTGTCTTGGGGGCCGCAAGCTGGAGCTGGCCCTCTGACCTCAGTGACCGCACTGGCGTATAAATTTGGACGAGGTCCGAGATATATGTTGGGGCCAGTCCATTCACAGCTTTAAAAACAAACAATAAAATCAATCCTAAAACGAACAGGAAGCCAGTGCAATGAGGCAAGAATTGGAGTTATATGAGCGCGCTTTTTGGTTCCTGTTAAAAGACGTGCTGCAGAATTTTGGACTAACTGTAAGCGTGAAAGTGCGTTGTGATTTATACCGATATAAAGTGCATTACAGTACAACGAGAAGAAATAAAAGGTTTAACTTTGGCTAAAAGGCGAAGATGATAAAAACTAGATTTCACAACCGCATTTATTTGTTTGTCAAGTTTAAAATCACTGTCTATTTTTGACCCCAAGGTTAGTTACAACAGGATGCACAAAGTCATTGAGGGGGCCCAAGTCTATCGTGCAGTTAGTGGGGCCAAACTGCATGATCTCTGTTTTACTCTCATTTAGTTCTAAGAAATTTTGGCCTAGCCACGCTTTGACATGAATGACAGTGAGGTATTTGGATTCATTAGAAGTGACTGACTTTGGTTTCCCATGCCATCTCCATTGTGTAAGCAACAGCTCAGTGCTTATTTATCGTCAATAAAAAACTCCACTTGTTTAACATTAAAGCTGTCTGTGAAGCAAGGACTGAAGGAAAGACCAGCAATGTACCAGCTGCAGTAAAACATGGACCGTGGCAGTTGTTCGAAAGCTCTTGTTTCATGTGGAAGTTTTTGCACAGAAACTAAAATCACTAGTGACTCTGAAATGAGAGGGTACAGCATGGCTGAGCACCACACGGGCGTAGTCAAAGTCCTGCTTAAGCTGCATGGCACCGTACAAACTCCGGGCAACATCGTTGTCTGTTGGACACAAAACAGATGGTCACTAGAACATGACATTTCAATACCTGGAAACGGAATTCAAATGTTGGACGAACTTTTAAAAGGACAAACCCACTTTGTAACCCTTTATCCTCTGTGTTCACTGTTCCTACCTGGTTGCAGTGGGTCCTCAATGTAGAGCATGGAGGGCCTGTAGCCATCCATCATGTTCTTCTGAACCTCGTCTTTGGCAACGTAACAACCTCCATCTTTTATCCTGATACCTACTTTCAGGTAGTTGAAGTGGCGACCGTAGAGTTCAAAGAATTCAATGAGAAGAGCACCGATGTTGATGTTGGGACTGCACACGTCCTTCCCCTGTAGCGAAGCTGGAAAACACACGGGTAGATGTTAGACTTATTGCAGATGGTTAAATTAGTTTAACAGGTCATTGACGAGACTTTTAGATGCTTCGACAGCATGACGGTCTTCACATTGTTCATGCTGAATACTGCATGTAGGGCTGTTTTATTCAGAATTGTGCATATGTTTATAATTCATGTATTCATTAACCACAATTGTTGCAAATACCTTAATAAAACATCCTCCAAAAAATAAGATCAAGTTGATAAAAACATTAAGAGGTCTTGCTAAAAACAAATTCCATCGGTGAAAACCTCATTGAGGTTCCTCTGCAGTAGGAACTGCTTCAGCACCAGATAAGTTGGCACAGGGTTTTTCTACAGGACCAAAAATAGACAGAGGAAGTGCATATAAAGAAATACATGTTGATGCTTTCAGCACCCTCCAAAGGAAAACAGCAATTTAAAGTCTCAAAAGTCCAGGATTTTTCTTGGTTTATCCTACTGATCACTAATATATAGAAGCGTACAAAACTTGACATATTATAAAATGAACACCATCTTGCTTTTGACGTTAGCAATGCCAGTTAAGGTGTGTTACGTCCCAAGGTCTAGGGGTGTCCGGGACGCAACATAAAAGTGTAGCTTCCCACTCTTCCCATTCCCAAACAAGGCCAGAACACAGGAAATACAATTTAGCAGTTTTATTGGCTTCAGAGATGAGCAGTGCCCAAAACAACAACCAAAACAATCTAATAAACCTAAACTTTCCTAAACCAAAAACAGAAAGTAAATAAAAGACAAAGCTCTAAACCAGGCTTCTAATCTCAAAAGCAAAAAGGGCTTCTCACTCCTACACACTGCTATACAACAAAGAAATATCCGTATATTATAACAAAAATGGCTAAAGCCCACAAAAAAAAGGTTGTCAACAACAATCAGAATTACGAAGCTAAGCTGCACAGATTCATTTACAAGGTCTACTCTACACAGCAGTTTTCTACTCACAACTAACAGGTATAACACACAGTACACAGGCTCAGGTTGGGAAAGGCAGAGAGAGAGAGAGGAGTTCCTGTCAGTGGTGCTTAAGATGGCTGTTGTCATCCAGGTGACCAATCAGGAGACTCCAATCAGCTCTGCAGGACCAATCCAGTGTGCCCTCCTGTTCTCCATTACCTGCATACACACACATACTCTAAGGGAGGAGAGACAGCTGACATTGCAGGGGGAGATAAAAACAAACTAAATATGACCCCAGGGTCATAACAGGTGAGTTAGGAAATGATTACTCTAAATATGCCACACAAGACGTTAAACCTCCATTAAGCAATGCTTTGGAATCAAATGGCTTCCTGTATGTTAAAAAGTGTTGTCAAAAGCTCTATATGCTACTAAGAAACCTGTACAATCTATAACAGCAACTATCTTTGTTTTGTTTTTTATGTTGTAAGAAAGGCACCATTTAGGTTTCAGTATTTCAGGCTTCTTTACAACCTTAGAGATTTAAGAGAATTGTTTGAGATAATACTACGATCTGTAGACCCCTGGAAAACAGCGTGGGAAAATGTTTCAAATGTTCAAACAATGTGTACACTTACACATCCATTAATCATGAAGTGTGTGTATTCCAAGGATACATGACAAACACAAGAAAAAAGGTCAAACATTTTGCAAACGTTTCAAAAAAGTTGCACGCATGACGCCAGCTATACCTCTTTGTAGTCCTTGCTGAGCCGAGCGGCTTCAACGCCACTCTTCACATTGAAGCTGATGTCCACTTTGACCTCAGTGAAGGAGTCAGTCAGTTTGATGATGGGAACCTGGGAACACACATGATAAGGGTGCTGATACTGAACAGAGGCAGTCGGGTAGAAAACAGTCACAATAAACGCACGCTTGGCTCCTGACACTGTGCTGCAAGAAACTGCACTTCAGGTCTATTGTAAGCATGAAAACACCAGTTTACACTCCTAATCCTTAATTTAACACGATTCATATAAATATCCTATGTACCACTGGAATTATGACAAAGTGTTTATTTTAGCCTGCAAGACAGGATGTAACGGTACCAAGCAATGTGGAGCGATTTGTTTATAGCAGCCTTGATGCAAGGCAGGAGCAGCCAGCTTACTTTAGCACGGATCTACCACTGAGTGCTTCGTAGAGTTCAATTTAGATTTATTGTGGTTTTAGCGATACTCAGGTATACAGCTTCTCCACCGTCTCATTCGGCATAACTAACATGAGCCACATAATATGACAACACCACAATGGAAGAGCCACTACAGTAAAGTTACTTATAACAGTGTCATTTATAATATTCAGTCCAGCTCATTAACCGTTTCGTTCTCATCCATTTAGCTGTGCTGACATTGCTGAGCCTCCGGTAAAAGATACACAAATAGTAATGTTAGTTACTGAAAAGCAGCAGGTGAGCTAACGCCAATGTATCACGTCGGCTTAATACAGTAAATATAAAGTTATCATGTGACAAGCACGGATTACTTCAACCGCAAGCTGCAAAATATATTACTGTAACGTTGCAGTAGGGGTTTACCTGAGTTTCCAGCATGTGGTGTGAAGATGTCTCCAGCTGCTGTCACACTGCCTTCTTTTACAAAATATTGTGCCAATATGCTGGCTCGCTGCGCTGTATGAGCTTTACGATTTCAAGCAAGCACGCGTACGAGCCCGCATCTGGTTGCAATCTTAAAACCAAACTGCTAGTGTCCGCTGAAAACTACATATTGCCCCTTTAAATATCATCACAAAATACATTACATCATAAAATCTGTCTTGCTCAGTCTTGTCAGTGCTACAGATCTGAATTAGAGGTAACATTTATGACAGTGATGAACTGTAGGGGGACCTACACTTCCACTGATACTCCCACCTACACAGTGTTAATGCAGAGACACCTGCAACTCTTCATGTCTCTGTAACTATGAGACTCTGGCAGTCTCTGTCTGTCAGAACATGGATATCATCAAACAAGATCTCCTCATATTGTCAGTGTTTTTGTTGTGGATTACAGGTAATTTGCAATAAAATCAACTAAAAAAAGTTTACGTTATTTTATTGTTTTATGTTTTTGCTCTTGTTGTAGACAATTATTCATTTGTTGGAAGTGATCTCAGATAACAACAGAATCCAAAATGCTGAGTACAAGTTTCTAATTGATAACTTTTACTATTATATACACAGGTCTTACTGATGGGAGTGATGTCACCCAGACTGACATACTGTGGAAACACCAGGGTGAAAATGCAACAATAAACTGCAGCCACACAAAGGATGCTAACCATTTCCAGATGTACTGGTACAGACAGCGGCCAGGAGAAGCAATGAAACAAATAGTGTTCACAACAACAGCCAGCAAAGATCACGACTTTGGAGAATTCAGCAAAGAGAAATTCTCAGCCACCAAGCCTGACGCTCACAGTGGGACATTCACTGTGAAGAATCTGGTGCCAGAAGATAAAGGCTTGTACTTCTGTGCTGTTAGTGAGCACAGTGATACAAACACACTCAATATCTGAACAAAAACCCCAGTGCACTGTTAGCACACATCTGTCCCACCATCTCACGTACTGTAGGGGGACCTCAAGTACCACAAATACTCAGTCACTTTGATTCACCAAGCAAATTGTGATACAGCAGCCAACAGGATCAGAAAACGTCACACGCTGCAGAGACACTCCCACCTGCAACTCTTCATCTCTCTGTAACTACACTAACAGATTTATGTGAGTCTCCAAACACCAGAACATGGACATTATCAAACATGGTCTCTTCAGCTTTTTATTATTTCTGCTCTGGATGAAAGGTGACTTACATTAAGGATTAGTTGCTTTTCATTATTAAACTATAATTTTTGACATGGCAGCAGAGGGTGACAATGGTTTTAAAGTGTTTTAAAGTAAATGCATTTTCACTATTAACCTAACTGTTTTACACAAAGGTCTAATTGATGGGAGTGATGTCACCCAGACTGACATACTGTGGATACACCAGGGTGAAAATGCAACAATAAGCTGCAGCCACACCAAAGGTGGCGGCTATTACCAGATGTACTGGTACAGACAGCTGCCAGGAGAAGCAGTGAAACAAGTAGTGTTCACAACAACTGCCAGCAAAGTTCACGACTTTGGAGAATTCAGCAAAGAGAAATTCTCAGCCACCAAGCCTGACGCTCACAGTGGGACATTCACTGTGAAGAATCTGGTGCCAGAAGATAAAGGCTTGTACTTCTGTGCCGTTAGTGAGCACAGTGATACAGACACATGTGGAAGCTGAACAAAAACCCAGCGCGCTGTTGGCAAAACATTTTATCTGCTCTACTGTAGGGGGACCTCAAGTACAACCACAGAACATCACATACTACAGCGACACTCCCACCTCTAACTCTTCATATCTCCGTTGTAACGTCACACCTCCCATCACTCAGACTGACACTCACTGTCACTCTGGATCATTTTGCTCAGAACACAATAATGATCACAGCTGGTCTGATAAACTCTCTGCAGCCCTGCTCTGTATTATAGGTAATGTACGTTATGACGCTGAGCACTGACAAGAGTTACTGCAGCTTTAAATGCATACAAATATCCATGTGAACAGAAGATACTGTTTCTTGGATGGACTACAGAGGGAGCTCTAGACTAACACTGATATGATATCTGACCATTAAATTGCACATATAGCCTTTTGTTAGTAATCAGTATCATTTGTGGTAATAGTGGCTGTGCAAAACAAGGTTTCAACAAATGTCACAATGTGAAATTATGGGCAGTTAATGTGACACCATATGTACTCTGTAATCTAACCCAACATCTTTAACAGACATTTGTAATGTTCCTGTTTGAATTATTGTCCTGTTGGTTTCAAATTGTGTTCAATTATTATTTCATTGGGTTTTAATTCCATTAAAATTTCAAACCCATTCTTTGCAAAATTTTGCCAAAGTTAGTTCTTGACAATAGAAGCAACAAAATAATTTTAACTCAAGGTTCACTTACTGGAACCTCATTACACTTACACAACCAAAGAGCATAAGATTTGGTTTAAAATTCCAAATCCAAGTATGCTAGTTTAACTGAGGTCATTTAATCCACAAGCTCTAGGCAGCAAGTCTATGTTACACATGTTTTCTCAAACTGACAGAAGTCAGTGATAAAGCTAAATGCAGGGGTAAAACAGGGCAATATTGTGAATTAAAACCAACTAAAAAAATGTTGGGAAGTGAGTACCTACAGAAATGTACAACACATGCAGTATTTATGTTTTGTTAATGAGGTCAGAAAGGACTAACTGGACCTTTCATAAAACAATTACTGCATTATGAGGAACAGACTGTCGTTCACGTTAAGGGTTGATGTTCATTTTTTTGTCTTGTCAGGATAAAAGTAACATTCCCACTAAAACAAATGCACTGCTTTCTCCATTACAGCTAAACTGCAAAATTCAGACTCAGAGCTGTACTCTTCAACACACATACTGTATGTTCTGCTGTTTTGTTGAGCCTGGGTTCACTACAGGTCTTTCTTTCTTATCTTGTTTCCTCTCATTTGGAGGCAGTACAGTATGTCTGTGGTGTGTAGTGGCAGTTTTCAATTAAAGCCTGACGAGCCAAACAATGCATAAAAAGAAAATGAATAAACAAAGTAGAAAGAGAAAAAATGAGTTGCAGATTTTATTTTATGTGTCTGCAGTCAGTAGGTTAAATATATTGTCAGACAGGCTGCCACAAACTGATGCACCAAACTGCAACTACTACATGTTGTTTGTATATATCTGCAGTATTTCTCACACCTGCAGGGGGAAAAAACCTCATACAATGAAAATAAAGGATTTCCACGTCCATAGATTGTAAAATCAACACAGTGCTATACCCTGCTGACAAAGTGAAAGCTGTGATGTAGATTACGGACACCTCCCCTGTTTGTTATAATGCAACAGTGATGTGCTTTCGTCTACAGGTGCTGAGCTGAAAGCACCAGAAAGAAAAGCAGATAGAACAAACTCACATTTAAAATTCTTTACCATGATGTTTAAGGTCTTTATATTGTGTTTCCTTCATCTGCCAGGGAATAAGGGTGAGTATTTCAGACAGAGTAAGATCCTACACAGCTAATCATTTCAGTATTTAAAATAACATCTGTTCTTTTTCTACAGGTGCCTCAAATACCTACACTGTCAGCCAAAAACCTCCTTTCATCATAAAAGGAACTGGTGAATCTGTTGCCAGTGAGATCAAATGTTCACACAGCATAACAAATTTTAATCGTATTCTCTGGTACAAACAAGAAGAAAACAAAGCGCTAAAGTTCCTGGGATATCTGAATCTGGGCTTCCCAAACCTCGAGGACGACGTGAAAGGAAAAATCAGCTTTGATGGAGACGGCAGTAAAGAGTCAAGCCTCACTGTTTCAAATGTTTCATTAAATGACAGGGGTGTGTATTTCTGTGCTGCCAGTCAGCACAGTGCTGCAGATTCCCCTCAAGTCAATACAAAAACTGCACACAGACAAGATGTTCAGGCTCTTGAACACCTGCAGCCAGCCTCCATCTAAACTGAGCCTTTGAAGTTATTATCAACTGTTGTACAAAATATGCTCGTCACATTTCTTGGATGTGCAGAACATATTGTTTCTGATATTGTCTCATCAACTACAAGATTGATGGAGTCTTGAACTACAGACCACTGATAAAATGCAGACATCCAAACTATTCTGCTTCCACATTGTGTTTCAGGTTTAGATTTTGGTAAAAAAGAAAAACTTCATAAATCAGACTTGATCCTAAGATATAATTTTACTCACATTCTAGTTCTTCCATGTCAGTACAGAAAAACCTTCAATATTCTATTTTAATGATCATCACATCATGAAATCTGTCTTTCTCAGTCTTGTCAGTGCTACAGATCCTGATTTACAGGTAACATTCATGACAGTGATGAACTGTAGGGGGACCTACACTTCCACTGATACTCCCACCTACACAGTGTTAATGCAGAGACACCTGCAACTCTTCATGTCTCTGTAACTATGAGACTCTGGCAGTCTCTCTCTGTCAGAACATGGATATCATCAAACAAGATCTCCTCATATTGTCAGTGTTTTTGCTGTGGATTACAGGTAATTTACAATAAAATCAACTGAAAATAATACATTTTTTATTGTTTCATGGTTTTGCTCTGATTATAATTGATTATTCATTTGTTGGAAGTGATCTCAGATAACACACGGAATCTAAAAAGCTGAGTAAAAGTTTCTAATCGATAACATTTACTATTATAAACACAGGTCTTACTGATGGGAGTGATGTCACCCAGACTGACATACTGTGGAAACACCAGGGTGAAAATGCAACAATACACTGCAGCCACACCAAGGGTGGCACCTATTACCAGATGTACTGGTACAGACAGCTACCAGGGCAGAGGATGAATGAAATAGTTTTCACGACTACAACTCCTCCACATAAGTATCAAAGTGGCTTCAGTGAAGAAAAATTCCCAGCAACAAAGAACAATGCTGAGACTGGATCTTTGACAGTGAAGAAGCTGCTGTCTGAGGACAGTGGAGTGTATTTCTGTGCTGTGAGTAAACACAGTGATACAGGTGACTCAGACAGCTGTACAAATACCCATGTGAACAAAAGATAACAGTTTCTTTGATAGACTACAGAGGGAGCTCTAGACTAACACTGATACAATAACTCTGACTATTTGAAATTGCACATACCTTTTTGTTAGTAATCAGTATTTGTGGTAATAGTGGCTGTGCAAAACAAGGGTTAAAAATGTCCCAATGTAAAATTATGGGCAATGAATGTGACACCATATGTACTCTGTAATCTAACCCAACATGTTTAAAAAGACATTTGTAGTTTTCCTGTTTTAATTACTTTCCTGTTGGTTTCAAACTATGTTAAATTATTATTTCATTGTGTTTTAATTCCATTAAACTCTCAAACCCATTCCTTGCAAGATTTTGCCAAAGTTAATTCTTGACATTAGAAACAAAACCATTCAAAATAATTTTAACTCAAAGTCCACTTACTGGAAGATACGGTTAGAAGTCCCGAATCCAAGTATGGTAGCTTAATTGAGGTCATTTAATAGACAAACACTAGGCAACAAGTCTATGTTACAAATGTTTTAATACAGTTTTCAGAGGCAACGCTAAAGGCAGAGGTAACACAGGGCAATATTATGAATTACTACCAATTGAGAAATTGGATTTCTGAAATTAATGAGGTCAGAAAGGACTAACTGGTCCTTTCATAAAACAATTACTGCATTATGAGGAACAGACTGTGATTCATGATAAAGGTTAAAAAGGTCATATTATGCTTTTTCCCCTCTTCTTTATTGAGTCATATCTTTTTTGTTCATGTAACAGGTTTGCAAAGTAAAAAAGCCCAATGTCCACCCGAAAGGGAGTTCCCATCTCCTACAGAAAACACTGTTCTGAACTGCCTGAAAACAGCTTGTTTGTAGTCCAGCCTTTTCCCTTTGATCCCTGTGACGTCCCAGTAAAATGCACGTCATAATGCTCGCCAAGCGGCCAGGGTTCCAGGGTTCACTTCAGGTCTTTCTTTCTTATTTTGTTTCCTCTCATTTGGAGGCAGTACAGTATGTCTGTGGTGTGTAGTGACAGTTTTCAATTAAAGCCTGACGAGCCAAACAATGCAAAAAAAGAAAATGAATAAATAAAGTAGAAAGAGACTAAATGAGTTGCAGATTTTATTTTTATGTGTCTGCAGTCAGTAGGTTAAATATATTGTCAGACAGGCTGCCACAAACTGATGCACCAAACTGCAATTACTACATGTTTTTTCTAAAACTGCGTTTCGACTAAAGGAACTATACCCCAGAACTAGGAACCTTTGGAGGAACTCAGTGTTTTTCCACCGGAGGGACCAGGGTCTAAATGTAGTTCTGGGATCTTCATTTTACCCCCTAAAAAGTCCCTGCTCGAGGGGTAGTACTTTCCAAAAGTACCGGGTACTTTGAGGGGGGTGGGGCTTGCCTTGCAGTGAAATTCTGAATGGGCGAGTAGAGGCTACTGGCTTTGTCAAGTCAAACTAGAATTGAAATTTAGCGGGTCATAGGTGAAGACAAAATAAATAAATATTTAATAAAGTAATAAGCGGCCACTGACGGACTGACTGCAGAGAGGAGATCAAACGGAACCAACCAATGCTGATGACTAGACGGAGCATTTAAAAAGACGCACGGCATCGTAAGTTTCTGGGATAGAGCATGTATGATACAAACAAATACCGAGGAAAAGCAAGACTGTTAAAGAAAATGCTGCAACGGCAGCGTGATGGGTGGTAAGACTGTGTAGGTCTGAGATGTCTACGAAGTCTGAAGAGGCAGCCGGTAAGATCTCCTCATATTGTCAGTGTTTTTGCTGTGGATTACAGGTAATTTGCAATAAAGGCAACTGGAAAATTACACGTACTATAGGGGGACCTCAAGTACCACAAATACTCCCAGTTACTTTAATTCACCAAGCAAATTTTGATATAGCAGCCAACAGGATCAGAAAACGTCACACGCTGCAGAGACACTCCCACCTGCAACTCTTCATCTCTCTGTAACTACACTAACAGATTTATGAGAGTCTCCAAACACCAGAACATGGACATTATCAAACATGGTCTCTTCAGCTTTTTATTATTTCTGCTCTGGATGAAAGGTGACGTACATTAAGAATTCATTGCTTTACATTGTTAAACTATATTTTTTGGGATGGTAGCAGAGGGTGACAATGGTTTTAAAGTAAATACATTTTCACTATTAACTTAACTGTTTTACACAAAGGTCTTATTGATGGGAGTGATGTCACCCAGACTGACATACTGTGGATACACCAGGGTGAAAATGCAAACATTAACTGCAGTCACACCAAAGGTGGCGGCTATTACCAGATGTACTGGTACAGACAGCTACCAGGGCAGAGGATGAAGGAAATAGTTTTCACGACTACAACTCCTCCACCTAAGTATCAAAGTGGCTTCAGTGAAGAAAAATTCCCAGCAACAAAGAACAATGCTGAGACTGGATCTTTGACAGTGAAGAAGCTGCTGTCTGAGGACAGTGGAGTGTATTTCTGTGCTGTGAGTGAACACAGTGATACAGGTGACTCAGACAGCTGTACAAATACCCATGTGAACAAAAGATAACAGTTTCTTTGATAGACTACAGAGGGAGCTCTAGACAAACACTGATATGATATCTAACTATTTGCAACTGCACTTCTATATTTTTGTTAAAAACCAGTATCATTTCTAACTGGATCTTTCATAAAACAATTACTGCATTATGAACAACAGACTGTCATTCACATCAAGGGTTAATGTAAATTTATTGCATTGTGAGGACAAAAGTAACATCCTCACTAAAACAAATGCACTGTTTCCTCCATTACAGCTAAATTGCAAAATTCAGACTCAGAGCTGTATCTCTAAACACACATATTCTGCCGTTTTGTTGAGCCTGGGTTCCAGGGTTCACTTCAGGTCTTTCTTTCTTATTTTGTTATGTTGTTACTCACATTCTAGTGCTTCCATGCCAGTACAGAAAAACCTTCAATATTCTGTTTTAAAGATCATCACATCATGAAATCTGTCTTTCTCAGTCTTGTCAGTGCTACAGATCTGATTTACAGGTAACATTCATGACAGTGATGAACTATAGGCGGACCTACACTTCCACTGATCCTCCCACCTACACAGTGTTAATGCAGAGACACCTGCAACTCTTCATGTCTCTGTAACTATGAGACTGGCAGTCTCTCTCTGTCAGAACATGGATATCAAACAAGATCTTCTCATTTTGTCAGTGTTTTTGCTGTGGATTACAGGTAATTTACAATAAAACCAACTGGAAAATGTAAAATAATTTTATTGTTTCATGTTTTTTCTCTGATTATAATTGATTATTCGTTTGATGGAAGTGATCTCCCCCGCGACCCTGTACGCAGGATAAGCGGTTGACAATGGATGGATGGAAGAGATCTCAAATAACACATGGAATCTAAAATGCTGAGTAAAAGTTTCTAATTCTAACTTTTACTATTATATTCACAGGTCTTACTGATGGGAGTGATGTCACCCAGACTGACATACTGTGGAAACACCAGGGTGAAAGTGCAACAATAAACTGCAGTCACACCAAGGGTGGCAGCTATCTCCAGATGTACTGGTACAGACAGCTACCAGGGCAGAGGATGAATGAAATAGTTTTCACGACTACAACTCCTCCACCTAAGTATCAAAGTGGCTTCAGTGAAGAAAAATTCCCAGCAACAAAGAACAATGCTGAGACTGGATCTTTGACAGTGAAGAAGCTGCTGTCTGAGGACAGTGGAGTGTATTTCTGTGCTGTGAGTGAACACAGTGATACAGGTGACTCAGACAGCTGTACAAATACCCATGTGAACAGAAAATAACTGTTTCTTTGGATGGACTACAGAGGGAGCTCTAGACTAACACTGATATGATATCTAACTATTTGCAACTGCACTTCTATATTTTTGTTAACAACCAGTATCATTTGTGGTAATAGTGGCTGTGCAAAAGAAGGTTTCAACATCTGACTGAGAAATGTTTTTTACAGGGTTAAAAATGTCACAATGTGAAATTATGGGCAATGAATGTGACACCATATGTACTCTGTAATCTAACCCAACATGTTTAACAGACATTTTGTTCCAGTTTTAATTTTTTTTGGTTGGTTTCAAAGTGTGTTAAATTATAATTTTATTCTATTCTAACTCCATTAAACTTAAATTTCTTGCAAAATCTTGCCAGGAATTAGTCATTCTATTTAAGCATGAAAGTTAATTCTTGACAATAGAAACAGTACCAAGACAAAATAATTTTAACTCAACGTCAAGAAACAGCTAGCAAGTGGACTGAGACTTAGTCAAACTTTGTTATTATTCCTTAAATCTCAACTGAAGTGTTCAAACATCACCAAACACGTGTTAACATGTAAAATAGTTTATAAGAACAAGCTAACATACAGCAGAACAAAAACAACAATGACCACATTTAAAACCATTGTGTAGCGTAATTAAGCATGTATAACTAATGTTACATGAGGGACAAATCCAAGTATGGTAGCTTATAATTGATCATTTCATAGACAAACACTAGGCAACAACTAAGTCTAAGATAGTCACACTGACAGAGGTGAGTGATGTTTTTCAATGCAGGGGTAAAAACAGGGCAATATTATTAATTACCACCAATTGAAAAACACAAAAATGGTTAGTCTATGTCAGGAAGTCAGTATCTACATTCGTGTACATACAATATTTATGTTTTGTTAATGAGATCAGAAATGACTAACTAAACCTTTCATAAAACAATTACTGCATTATGAACACCAGATTGTCATTCATGTTACAGTAAATTTATTGCATTGTCACGACAAAAGTAGTATCCTCACAAAAACAAACATAACTAAAACAAATGCACGGTTTCCTCCATTACAGCTAAATTGCAAAATTCAGACTCAGAGCTGTATCTCTAAACAAACATATTCTGCTGTTTTGTTGAGCCTGGGTTCCAGGGTTCACTTCAGGTCTTTCTTTCTTATTTTGTTTCCTCTCATTTGGAGGCAGTAAAGTTTGTCTGTGGTGAGTAGTGGCAGTTCAGGAAGAGGAAAATGCATTATGACACCACCCAACTAAAAAGAAAAAAAAAAGATTTCGGATAGGAGGTTGTACCCAGCTATAGAGGTGTGAATATTCACTAGAACTGCACATAGAGTGATGAAAACACAGTACCAAAAACAAAGATGTTCTTATTTTCAGGCATAAAAAACAAGATGATCATCGTCTTCTGCATAGCCCTTAATGCCATAGTGGTTTCAGGTAATATAACACAAGTTTTCAAAATTCTTCTCTCAGGTTATTATCTAAAGCTCCTGTTTATTGTTCTTCTACTTTTATCTATGAAGACTCACCCTCATCTCCCATCATCATGTTCATGTTGTGTTGTTTTGTTGATACTTTTTCCACAGGTTCCTCTCTCAGTGACAAGGTCCACCAGACTCCAGCTGACATGTACAACACACCAGGAGAAACAGCCAAAATCAGCTGTTCACACAGTGTTGACAACTATGATCGAATCCTCTGGTACAAACAATCAAAGGACAGACAGCTACAGTTCCTGGGATACATGTTAGCAACCAGTGCAAACCCAGAGAAAGATGTGAATGTGAAGATAGAAGGAGATGCAAACAAAGGCCAAACCTGCACATTAACAACCGAAGAACTCAGTCTGAACAGCAGTGCAGTTTACTTCTGTGCTGCTTGGTTACACAGTGATACATATCGCTGCTCCTCAATACAAAAACTTCCCCATCACACGTTTCATCTCTGTATTACAGCTCACAGCCCCTCACACCTGTGTTCCTCCTTCAGTACATCATTACTCAGATCTTTACACTGAGAAAGTGGTGTGTAAGTGGTCACAAACATACGTTATATTTTTTCGGAAGAGTAGGATGCACAATGACACCGCCCATCGAATGACCTGGGAGGGTTTACTCAAAATGAAAGTTGGAAATACTCAGTATAACTGCTTCATTCATTGCAACGACTGAAACTGATGTTCATCAAACCAACCAAATAGCCAACTCAAAAAAGACATAATGATCATTGTATTTGTTTGCATTAACTTTATTCTGGTTTCAGGTAATGTCAGCGAACTTGAAATTTTAATTTACATTTTTAAATTAATCAGTCTATAGATTTGCTTGTGTACACCGAGTCTCCAATACTTCTGTTATTTCAGCTGAGTTTTTGCATTATTTTACAGTTTATATTTAATATTTAGGTTTTCAAATGACCAGTATTTGTTCTTATATTTTGTCTGAGGTTTTGTTAATCTTTTTTCAACAGGTTCCTCTCTCAGTGAACAAGTTCACCAGACTCCAGCTGACATGTACAACAAACCAGGAGAAACAGCCAAAATCAGCTGTTCACACAGTATTCAGAACTATGATCGAATCCTCTGGTACAAGCAATCAATGGAGAGAAAGCTACAGTTCCTGGGATACATGTTTAAAAACAATGGAAACCCAGAGAAAGATGTGAATGTGAAGATGGTAGGGAGTGCAGATAAAGACCAGACCTGCACATTAACAACTGAAGAACTCAGTCTGAACAGCAGTGCAGTTTACTTCTGTGCTGCTAGTTTACACAGTGATACATATCACTGCTCCTCAGTACAAAAACCTCCTCATCACACATTTTTTATCTCTGTATTACAGCTCACAGCCTGATGCACCTGTACTCCTTCCTCTCAGTAGATGGTGGTATATCTTTACTCAGACCTTTATACTGAGCAAGTGGTGTTTAGTGGTAGTTGACATGATGGTTATATTTAGGAGGAGGAGGACGCATTATGACACCGCCCACCTAAAGACTTCATGTTGATTTGCTGACAAGAGGGTTTACTCAAAGAGGAGGTTGGAAATAATCAGCATAACTGCTGATACACTGAAGAATAATGATTCACAATAACAAGATTATGATATTCTTCAATTTAACCAAACACTCAGAGAAGACAAAATGATCATCTTATACCTAAGCATCACTTTTAACACACTTCTGGTTTCAGGTAACAGCAAAATAATTTTTTTATTTCTTTTTCATGTTGTCAGCAAAATCTGTTAATAGATTTGCGTGTGTACAACCAGTCTCCTATACTGATGCTATTACAGTTACGTCACTGGATTATTTAACATCTTGTGTTATTCAGTTTTTATATTCAGCAATGTTTATGTTCATGTTGTCTGATGTTTTGTTAATCCTCTTTCCACAGGTTCCTCCTTTAGTGACCAAGTCCACCAGACTCCAGCTGACATTTACAAAGAAACTGGAGAAACAGCCAAAATCAGCTGTTCACACAGTGTTGACAGCTACAACCAAATCCTCTGGTACAAGCAATCAAAGGAAAGACAGCTACAGTTCCTGGGATACATGTTTGTAACCAGTGGAAAACCAGAAACAGGAGTGAATGTGAAGATAGAAGGAAATGCAAACAAAGGCCAGACCTGCACATTAACAACTGAAGAACTCAGTCTGAACAGCAGTGCAGTTTACTTCTGTGCTGCTAGTTTACACAGTGATACATATCACTGCTCCTCAGTACAAAAACCTCATCACACATTTTTTTTTATCTCTGTATTACAGCTCACAGCCTGATGCACCTGTACTCCTTCCTCTCAGTAGATGGTGGTATATCTTTACTCAGACCTTTATACTGAGCAAGTGGTGTTTAGTGGTAGTTGACATGATGGTTATATTTAAGAGGAGGAGGACACATTATGACACCGCCCACCTAAAGACTTCATGTTGATTTGCTGACAGGAGGGTTTACTCAAAGAGGAGGTTGGAAAAATCAGCATAACTGCTGATACACTGAAGAATAATGATTCATAGTAAACAAGATTATGATCTGATATTCTTCAATTAAACCAAATACCTAGAATAGAACACAAAATGATCGTCTTATACCTAAGCATCACTTTTAATATACTTCTGGTTTCAGGTAATAGCAATATGATTTTACATTTTGAATTTTCTTTTTCAAGTTGTCAACAAAATCTGTTATTGGATTTGCATGTGTACAGCCAGTCTCATATGCTGCTGCTATTACAGGGTTACTGGCTTACTGGCTTTTTAAAAACATTTTAAGTTATTCATTTTATCACTTCAATTTCCATTCTCATGTTGTCTGATGCTTTGTTAATCCTCTTTCCACAGGTTCCTCTCTCAGTGACAAGGTCCACCAGACTCCAGCTGACATGTACAGCAAACCAGGAGAAACAGCCAAAATCAGCTGTTCACACAGTGTTGACAACTACAACCAAATCCTCTGGTACAAGCAATCAAAGGACAGAAAGCTACAGTTGTTGGGATACTTGTTAGCAACCAGTGGAAACCAGAAACAGGAGTGAATGTGAAGATAGAAGGAAATGCAAACAAAGACCAGACCTGCACATTAACAACTGAAGAACTCAGTCTGAACAGCAGTGCAGTTTACTTCTGTGCTGCTAGTTTACACAGTGATACATATCACTGCTCCTCAGTACAAAAACCTCCTCATCACACATTTTTTATCTCTGTATTACAGCTCACAGCCTGATGCACCTGTACTCCTTCCTCTCAGTAGATGGTGGTATATCTTTACTCAGACCTTTATACTGAGCAAGTGGTGTTTAGTGGTAGTTGACATGATGGTTATATTTAGGAGGAGGACACATTATGACACGCCCACTTAATGACTTCATGTTGATTCTCTGATAGGAGGGTTTACTCAAAGAGGAGGTTGGAAATAATCAGCCTGACTGCTGATACATAGAAGAAAACATAGCGATTCATAGCAACAAGATTATGATCTGATATTCTTCAATATAACCAAACACTCAAAGAACACAAAATGATCATCTTATATCTAAGCATTACTTTTAACACACTTCTGGTTTCAGGTAATAGCAAAATAATTTTTCCATTTCAAGTTTTTAACAAAATCTGTTAATAGATTTACATGTGTAAAGTCAGTCTCCTGCTATTACAGTTGCATCACTGGATTATTTAACATCTTGTGTTATTCAGTTTTTATATTCAGCAATGTTTATGCTCATGTTGTCTGATGTTTTGTTAATCCTTTTTCCACAGGTTCCTCCTTTAGTGACCAAGTCCACCAGACTCCAGCTGACATTTACAAAGAAACTGGAGAAACAGCCCAAATCAGCTGTTTACACAGTATTGACAGCTACAACCAAATCCTCTGGTACAAGCAATCAAAGGACAGAAAGCTACAGTTGTTGGGATACATGGTGGGAGAGAGTGGAAACCCAGAGAAGGGAGTGAATGTGAAGATAGAAGGAAATGCAAACAAAGGCCAGACCTGCACATTAACAACTGAAGAACTCAGTCTGAACAGCAGTGCAGTTTACTTCTGTGCTGCTAGTTTACACAGTGATACATATCACTGCTCCTCAGTACAAAAACCTCCTCATCACACATTTTTTATCTCTGTATTACAGCTCACAGCCTGATGCACCTGTACTCCTTCCTCTCAGTAGATGGTGGTATATCTTTACTCAGACCTTTATACTGAGCAAGTGGTGTTTAGTGGTAGTTGACATGATGGTTATATTTAAGAGGAGGAGGAGGACACATTATGACACCGCCCACCTAAAGACTTCATGTTGATTTGCTGACAGGAGGGTTTACTCAAAGAGGAGGTTGGAAAAATCAGCATAACTGCTGATACACTGAAGAATAATGATTCATAGTAAACAAGATTATGATCTGATATTCTTCAATTAAACCAAATACCTAGAATAGAACACAAAATGATCGTCTTATACCTAAGCATCACTTTTAACATACTTCTGGTTTCAGGTAATAGCAATATGATTTTACATTTTGAATTTTCTTTTTCAAGTTGTCAACAAAATCTGTTATTGGATTTGCATGTGTACAGCCAGTCTCATATGCTGCTGCTATTACAGGGTTACTGGCTTACTGGCTTTTTAAAAACATTTTAAGTTATTCATTTTATCACTTCAATTTCCATTCTCATGTTGTCTGATGCTTTGTTAATCCTCTTTCCACAGGTTCCTCTCTCAGTGACAAGGTCCACCAGACTCCAGCTGACATGTACAACAAACCAGGAGAAACAGCCAAAATCAGCTGTTCACACAGTGTGGACAACTACAACCAAATCCTCTGGTACAAGCAATCAAAGGACAGAAAGCTACAGTTGTTGGGATACTGTAGCAACCAGTGGAAACCAGAACAGGAGTGAATGTGAAGATAGAAGGAAATGCAAACAAAGACCAGACCTGCACATTAACAACTGAAGAACTCAGTCTGAACAGCAGTGCAGTTTACTTCTGTGCTGCTAGTTTACACGTGATACATATCACTGCTCCTCAGTACAAAAACCTCCTCATCACACATTTTTTTTATCTCTGTATTACAGCTCACAGCCTGATGCACCTGTACTCCTTCCTCTCAGTAGATGGTGGTATATCTTTACTCAGACTTTATACTGAGCAAGTGGTGTTTAGTGGTAGTTGACATGATGTATGTTAGGAGGAGGACGCATTATGACACCACGCACCTAATGACTTCATGATGATTTGCTGAAAGGAGGATTTACTCAAAGAGGAGGGAAGAAATAATCAGCATTTCTTGATAGCTACACGATTCTGATCTGATATTCTTCAATATAACCAAATACATAGAATAGAACACAAAATGATCATCTTATACCTAAGCATCACTTTTAACATACTTCTGGTTTCAGGTAACATCAAAATAATTTCTCATTTCTTTTTCAAGCTGTCAACAAAATCTGTTAATAGATTTGCAGGTGTACAGCCAGTCTCATGCTGCTGCTATTACAGGGTTACTGGCTTTTTAAAAACATTTTAAGTTATTCATTTATCACTTCAATTTCCATTCTCATGTTGTCTGATGCTTTGTTAATCTTTCCACAGGTTCCTCTCTCAGTGACAAGGTCCACCAGACTCCAGCTGACATGTACAGCAAACCAGGAGAAACAGCCAAAATCAGCTGTTCACACAGTGTTGACAACTACAACCAAATCCTCTGGTACAAGCAATCAAAGGACAGAAAGCTACAGTTCCTGGGATACATGTTAGCAACCAGTGGAAAACCAGAACCAGGAGTAATGTGAAGATAGAAGGAAATGCAAACAAAGGCCAGACCTGCACATTAACAACTGAA